CAATGAAATCGGAGACGAAGGAGCACAACATATCGCTGATGCTTTACGAGCTAACACGGTGAACCTCATTCAATCTGCAGCTATCTATTATACTCATCTCCACTTTTCACATAGACACTCACCAAACTTTATCTCGAACACAATGAAATCGGAGACGAAGGAGCACAACATATCGCTGATGCATTACGAACTAACACAGTGAACCTCATTCAATCTTCATCTATCTATTATGCCCATCTCCACTTTTTACATAGACACTCGCCGAACTTTATCTCGAATACAATGATATCGGAGACAAAATGAAACGTCGTTTGGAGGAAGTGATTGAAGCCAACAAGCGACGACGAAAGAATGAAGATTGATTATAATTATAATGTTGGTGTGATGAAGAGGAAAATAGACTTTAAGGATATTTGTTTAGTCGCTTCGATTATTCTTTTTCTCAAAATCATTGTAGACGAATTCCAAATTTGTATTTTATGTTGACGCTTACGCGAACAATGCATGTGTGGGTGTTAGTGAATGGAAAGTACTGATATGAAGGGTGTGAGTGTGGGTGTGGGTAGGTTGGGGTGTAAATAAACAAGAGGTGAAGACCCACACTCTCTCACAATTTCTAATGTAGATATTTTATTGTCTGAAACATTCTCGTATCAATTATTGTAAGTCCTTTTTTTTACAAAAGAACAGCTCACTTGAAGGAACTATGTATCGGACATAATAAAAGACTCTTCTTAATTAGTGAATTTATTTCTTACCGCATGAGAACTTTAATTAGTATATTTATATTAAATGATACCTATTTTTCATGGTTTTGCTCAGAAAAATCTTCCAAGATAGGGATAAACATTATTCCTGAGCTTCTAGGATCCTAAAAATGTCTTCGCAAATCCTCACAATTGTTTTGTTTTTTTTTTGAAAAAAATATAATTAAAGATCATGAAAATAAATGAGATGGTATTAGGCATAAAATAAAACTCATTGACAAGAACACGATTGTTTGACTTTTTGTTGCACAGAATCAATTGCTATGATAATTTGATGCTCTATATATATATAAAAGAAGGTTTGCTGCTGAGAAAAAAATGAAGGGAAGGGTATCATGCTGTTCTCGAAACAAGCTCACATTCTTTGAGACTTCTCGAAAATGCAACTTCACGCAAGAAACTCAAGAGTTTGTTGAAATTTAGGTAACAGACCAACTCTGGTATGTTAAATGAAACTTACATCACCACATTCTTCTTATTTACAAATTTTAAACGATTGCAGCGATGTCTAATATTCAGAAATTGGAGACATCATAAATGCCAAGAGAGATAATAAATACGTAATATAATCTTTTCTATGACTATGCAAATATGGATGGGTCTGTAGATGTTGAAAGAACCGACAATCAAGCTAAATTTTCAAAACTACACGCTTCCAAGAGTTTTAGTGGTTCAGAACTCATGGAATCCAGTCACTACTGAGCCTGAAACGGATTTATTTTTTTTAGGGTAGAATATGATGTGGTATATCATCTCAAGATATCATAGAGTGCCTGTTGATTGAACAAGTCATGTTGATTTTGGTTAGGTTTTAATGAATAATGAAAAATCTAGTAAATAATAAGTACTTCTATGAATTATTTCCAGAGTTGTCACTAGTTGATTTTAATATTAATTGATGATGAGTTATATTATCGAAAATCTGTTTTAGGGTAAGAATACCTTCATTTCTAGTTCCCTGAACGATTCGTAATTTAAAAAAATCTGATAAATCGATTATGAACCTTGTAGAAGCAGAATATCAAATGTAAGGTAGAAAATAGCAGCTGCTCTCACGAGGTGTTCTTAAAAGGGCACCAGAGTATTTTTCATTTGTTGATACATATATTTATTTAATTTTTTTACTCTGATTATTTTGTAGTTCTAAATTAAGTTTTGAATTGACTCTTTGTCATTTTCTAAACTAATATACACGAAATAAATACATTCAATGAGACAAGAACTGTGATAAATTTATTTTTGAGAATATTTTCCCAATAAAAATTTACCACAATAAATTACCGATAAAATGATAAATAACACACTTCAGTAGTTGTCTGCACATTGTTGTTTGATGACAAAATAAGATAATCTTTAACTGATGATATATATGTATTTAAAAATACTTCAAAAGAAATTTTCATCATCATTAAAAAAATAAATCAATACATTTGATAAATCAATGGTCCGTATGCAAAAATGAGAGACATTATGTTCAAAATAATTTTACTGATCAAATATCTATAATTTTATTTGCTTGAAGCGAACAGCCTAATAACATTAGGAAAAGGAGTCGAATTGTTAGTGGTCACTATGAGCGGAATTCATTGGTTTTCATTACATGCTCAAATATTCGACTGTAGAATCAATTAAACATAAATTTTAGTTCACTCTCCCTTTTTATTTAAAGCACATGGTTTAATTCACAGATTAGTCTATAGTTAGCGCAATGTTTCTCTTTTATGAAAAGACAATCGAAAACATAGCGTATACATATAAATCTTGTATTTTCTTCAACAATAATATCAATTACTAAAATGAATAATAATCAGCATTTTTTCAAACACACTATGCCTAATTCTATTAATTTCCTATCAAATTGGCCACTCAAATTTGAAACCTCTAGACTCATTTTTTTTGAAAAATTTTCAGAAGAAACTTGTTGCTCACAAATATGCATCGTTTTGAGTTTGAAGGAAATTCTAATGCGCATAAAGGTAGAAAATAAATAAGAGAAGGTGAAAGAGGATTGATATAGCGCATGTACAGAACAAAATCAATAGCGTGACGCATTTCTATTGCGTAGTCTCATCATATGGTAAGAGAAAATATATTTTATTTGTACACGTAAATACATCGCAAGTTGGAAAAAAACTTCAGTCACTTTCTTTCAATAAGATATACATTACACAGCCGATCCAACGAGCATATATAAACATAATCAATCGTTCTCCTACTCTCATTTTCAGTAGTAAGTAGAATTATATGAAGAATAGGCAGTAATCACTTGTTTCTCTTTTGTTTAGTCATTCTCACGTGAGTAAGAATCGATGTTTATTTTTTTGCGATGTGAATCTTGTATATTGCGACCTCGTAGCCAAGTCTCTTCTAGTGCTAAAGGGTGTTCGAGAAGTTTCTACCCCTCTCAGTAAATCCTTGATATTTATAAGAAACTTATGTTAATTTATCGATCAAACTATATCATTTTGCAGAGAAAGATTAGAGCTATCATCTGAAAAAAAATATTTCGAAATACATAAATCTATTTCAACGTCATGGTCACTTTTCTAACCTTGAATGAAAATTTTTACGTTACATTTTTTGAAAAAAAACAAAACAGTCTTTAATGTTCGAGTCATTAAAGCCGAGTGAGGTATTGTTTTCTACATATTTTTAATAGATATTTTTATATGGTTCGATAGTGTTCAACAAGTTCTACAAAAATATGAATATGAAGATAAATGCGAATCCTGTTTCCAATATAAAACTCGAATGAAATCACGAAGATTAATAAAAATCTTACATATCTTTCATGAGATAGTATGCTTAAATTTTGAACAACTGTAGTTTATCGACTGTTAATTGATGTTTCGAGATGTAGTGTCAAATACTGAAGCTGAAAATAACTCTTCTGAGTTGTCTGAGTAGATGGAACAGTCAACCAGCTAAAACTTTTGAAAGCTCAACTTACTGTCTAATATTCGATACATGAAATTCTTATTAATCTTTCTCGTTTCCTTCAAATTTTTATATTGAAAATAAGATCAACCGTTTTTTAAATATTCATATTCTTGTAGAGCTTGTCGAACTCTCTCGAATCATGTAAAAATATCTAGAAAACAATATTTAGCTTAAGAAGTTACAAGTATATTCTGTTTTTGCAAAACGTGTAACATAAAAATTTTCACTCAAGATTAGTAAAATAACCATAGTGTTGAAATAGATTTATGTATTTCAAGCTATATTTTTTCAGATGATAGCTCTAATCTTTCTCTAAAAAGTGACATAATTTGAACGATAACTTAACATAAGTTTGTTATTGATATCATAGATTTACAGAGAGGGGTCGAAACTTTTCGAACATCCTTTATTAATAAGAATGTTATTGACTTGAATAATTCTCCAATATTCTTAATGAAAGATCCATTGTTTGAAATGCTTGAGTCTCTGATTACCGTGTATCGAGACTTGTCTTTCTTAGTTTTCGCTTTTCAAATACATACTTTTGAGCAAAAATATCTCGTGTTATTTTCTGAAGTATGTCATAATGATAAAATTAAGTTTTTTGGAAAATTGATTCTATATTTTGATAGCACTCTCAGACAGACTATCAAGGCACTTTTCTAATATGTGATTTTATTATGATGATAAAATATTTAAGAGAACGACTGAGAAGAGTTTCTTCTTCTTCTTCGGACATGTATCATAAAATGAACGATCATGCAAGTCTTTCTTGAAAGGTCTAGAGCAATATGTCCCTTGCCACTGAGTCTCGTAGATTATTTCTCTGGCAAAGTTTCGTTCGTCGGTTAATTTTTTTCTGAACAGAACTACTTAGTTTGTAATATAAGAGAATTTACCAAGTAAAAAAATCACTCAGAGTTCAATGAAACTCGCTGATGTCGATGGCATCATGAATGACCTAAGCACTCATGTATTTCATATGTCGTGAAAATTTAAGGCTTTTTCATTATTATAAAATGTAAAGCCAATTACTGTCTTATAGAAGTGATTCGTTAACATTTCCATTGGACAACTATCTTGGTGCTTTTATCATTTATGACAACACAATCAATTGTCCTAGAAAATTCATTAGACATGATGAACAGAACAAACAACAAAGAAGATATCACTCTGATTTGGTTTGACTCAAAAATGGAATCGAATTATAATGTAGAACAAACAAAGCAACGACTACGTCAAATCAATGATTATATCGTATTCCACAGTGAACTTGAAACTTGCATCAATTTCATGCAATCAATTCAGAATGAAAAAATCTTCTTCATCTCTTCCATTTCTGATGCATCACAAATACTGCCTCATATGGTGACTCTACGTCTAGTTGATTGTATCTTTATCTTCAATTGGGAGAAAGTTAATCATGAAAATTTAGTTTTTGAACATTCAAACCTGATTGGTATTTATGATGAACTCGATTTATTATGTTTATCAATTCAACAACAAGTTGATTATCTTGATCTACACTTGAAAACATTTAGTTTCTTCGATCAAAATGATCACTTCACAAAAGATCTATCAAAACAAACTGCTGATCTTCTTTGGTTTCATCTTTATCATGATGTTATCTTTGAATTAACATGCAATGCAGAAGCTAAACAAGAATTGATCGATGCATGTCGTTCTTATTATCGCGACAATACTAAAGAATTAGAGTTGATTAGAAAGTTTGAAAATGAATATCGATCACAGGAAGCTCTTCGATGGTATTTAGAAAAATCTTTTCTTTACAGAATTATCAACAAAGCTTTACGAATCAAAGACTTCGATCTACTTTACACATTTCGATATTTTATGAAAGATCTGATAGAATGTTTCGTTCGAGAAAATCAAAAGATGGTTCAATCTGACCAAGATATATTAATAGTTTATCGAGGAATGAAAACAACAAAAGATCAGATCGAGAAATTCAACGAGAACAAAGGTAAATTGGTTTCAATCCATGGATTTTTTACAGCAAGTATTCTTCGTTCAACTGCATTGAATCAAACAATGAAACTTTCGAAACAAACTAATCTCATTCCTGTTCTTCTGAAAATTCGATGCGATTTACAACATCTGAACAACAGTGTCATCGTTACTGATCGATGTGAAGAACAACAAGAAATTCTCTTAGATTCAACTGTCACTTATCGATTGGAAAGTGTCAGAATAGAAGAAGAAGAAGAAGAAGAGATTTGCTTTATTGAAATGAGTACATCGAATGAAGGTCAAATTATCAAAGAAAAATATATCAAAGATTCACGTCACCAGATAGAAGATCTCAGTATCAAAATTCTCTTTGGACGATTGATGTGTGATATGGGTCAATGGAACCAATCACAACATTTCTTTGAAATTTTATTGAATGATTCGAATAACAGCAACGAAGATCTCACAAAGATTGAACGTAGTCTTGGTGAAGTCCTTCAATGGAAAGGAGAATGGAGTGAAGCACGAAAATATTATGATCATACTTATGATCGGATAATGAATACCAAACCAACACGGATAAAGGATTTAGCTGATATACTATTCAACATTGCTGAGATTCTCTATCTGGAAGGAAAATATGAAGAAGCTCATAATTATTATAAACGAGCGTTGGAAATTCAAAATAAAAATTATTCGTCTTCCAACTTTGATAGGTCCTGTTTACTACATCAGCAAAGCAGCAGTGTCCTCAACGATGTTCCAACATCATGCTACTCAGTTTCTTCGAATTTAGAAGGATACGTTCAATCATCTTCTCGATGGCATTGTACTACAGAATGTCGACAAATTTCGTCCCAGCAACCATCGAAGTATACAGCAAACAAAATAGAACTCGTTGGAGAAACATTAGCCGAAAGATATTTGCTAGAAATATGTCGAAACATACAGGAGACTGATTGGTTGAAAACGGTTGAAATTAAACAGGATAATAATGTCCTTATTGCTACTAGTCTCCATGGCATTGGGAAGATCCTCTGGCGTCAAGAAAAATATGATGAAGCACTTATCTTTCATCAACAAGCACTGGCAATGCTCGAAGAATATTATCAATCTCCTCATATAGATATCGCTGTTAGTCTTAACTACATTGGTGAGGTTCTTAAATATCAAAAAAACTACGATACAGCCCTAGACTTCTATCACCAAGCAATATCAATCTATACAAAATATTATCCAAATGGTCATGTTTACATTGCCACCACCATCCTAAACACCGCTTACATTCTCGTTCTCCAGGGAAAACACAATGAAGCTTTAAAGACTAATGAACAAGCAATGGCAATGCTACAAAAATATTATCCATTTGGTCATGTAAAGATTGCCTTTAGTCTCAATGGAATAGGACATGTTCACTATGTACAAGGAAAATATGACGAAACTCTGACATTTTTTGATCAAGAACTGAAAATTCTACAGGAATATTGTTTCTCTGGTCACGCCGACATTATTTGTACTCTGAACAACATTGGCCATGTACAAAAGGAACTAGCAAAGTATAATGAAGCTCTTGATTTTCATCAACGAGCATTAGTACTTCAAGAAAAATATTATCCATATTATTATGCAAAGATCGCTTACACACTCAATTGCATTTCTAATATACTACTTTGTCAATCAAAATATGATGAAGCTCTACGCTATTGTCAACGAGCACTAAGAATGCAAGAGAGCTATTATCCTTCAGGTCATGCCTCAATGGCCTCAAGTCTCAACAACATTGGCAACATCCTAAATGCGCAAGAAAAATACAATGAGGCTATTGATTTTCAACAAAGAGCACTTGCAATTGTCGAAAAGCACATTCCATATGATCATTCTTCCATTGCTTTTTATATGAGCAACATTGGGATTATATCATGCACAGAAAAAAAGTATGATGAAGCTCTTGATTATCATCGGCGAGCACTCGAAATACAAGAAAAATATTGTCCATCATGTCAGAATGAGATTGCCAACAGTCTCAACTACATCGGTCATGTTCTCAGTGAACAGAAAAAATACGATGAAGCTTTGAAGTTTTATCAAAATGCACTCGAAATACAAGAGAACTATTTTTCAAATGATCATGTGGATATTGCGACTACTCTAAATAATATTGGCACAATCTTTCGTCAACAACAAAAATTCGATGAAGCGGTTGAATATCATCGAAAAGCATTAGATATTCAAGAGAAATATTATCCAGCAGACAGTATCATCATAGCTAATACCATCAATTGTATCGGTCATGTTTTGTACGATGAAGGAAAGTATGATGCAGCCATTCGCTATTATCGACGAACACTTCCAGTGCACGAGAACTTCTATCCTGATGGTCACATCCGAATTTCTCATATTTTCAGCTCTATTGGTAACACTCTGTATGAGCAAAAGAAGTACGATGAGGCTCTTCAAGTTCATCAAAAAGCCTTGGCTATTCGAGAAAAAAATTACGAATTACCTAATGTCGACGTTGCGAATAGTCTAAACTCTATTGGAAATGTCCTATATAGTCAAGAGAAATATGACGAAGCCATTGATTTTTATCAACAATCATTAACTATTCGAGAGAAAATCCATCCACTTGGTTACAATGGTATTGCCATCGTTCTGAGCAATATTGGAAAAGCTCTGTATCAACAAAAGAAGTACGATGAGGCTCTTCAAGCTCATCAAAAAGCCTTGGATATTCAAGAAAAAAATTACGAATTACCTAATGTCGACGTCGCGAATAGTCTGAACTCTATAGGTAATGTTCTATATAGTCAAGAGAAATATGACGAAGCCATTGATTTTTATCAACAATCATTAACTATTCGAGAGAAAATTCATCCACTTGATTACAATGGTATTGCCATCGTTCTGAACAATATTGGAAAAGCTCTGTATAATCAAAGAAAATATGATGAGGCTCTTGACTTTCAACAACAAGCACTGGCAGTTCTAAAAAGTAACTTGTCTAGTGATCAATTTAGAATTGCTAGCAGTCTCGAGACCATCGGTAAAACTCTGTTTCAACAAACAAAATATGATGAATCTCTTGACTTTTATCAAGAAGCATTGGTCATACTCGAAGAACATTATCCCAATGATCATATTGAAATTTCTGAATGCCTATCCTGGATCGTTGGTAACCTCCATAAGAAGTCCAAGTTCGATCTCGCTATTGAATATTTGGAAAGATGTTTATTAATTGTCGAAGCCAGTCGACCTCCAAAAGATCTCTGCATTACTAAAATATTTATGTGCTTGTCACAGATGCAAAGAGCAAGAGGTCAACATGATCTCTCCCTTATACATGAACAAAATTGTATGTTAATGCGTCTCAAAGTTCTATCATCAGATCATGAAGACATTGGCGATAGTTTATCGACTATAGGTGAGATTTATGAAAATCTTCATAAACCTATGTTGGCACTTAATTACTATCAGCAAGCATTAGCTATCTACAGAAAATGTTTGACTCGCTGGAATCGTAAACTACGAAGTATGGAATGGAATATTGAACGAATTTCAGAACAACTTGAAATAGAACTTGATGAATCAGATTGAATTTTTAATTGTAGCTCGTTCCTATTAAATATTATTTTTATCAAAGAAAAGTGTTGATCGAAATATCTCGATAAGAATATGTGAGGGTGTGGGTATGGATATACTCTTTTCTAAATATTCACATCCATATCCACACCTACACCCACACACCCTTTCGACTATTCATGTTTGGCGTCTTTCCTTATTTTTTGCTCACTTAAGTGAAGATAAAATATAGAAATATAATATTTCTTCTCCAACTATACGTCACGATTGCGCATCAAGTCAAGTACGAACATCTGACGATGTATCTCATATTCGAGTGTATAGAATGAAAAAAATCCGATATACTCGCATATTAATTCACGATAATACTAAGAAAGAAATACGATAACTATTCGAAGGCTTATCTTTCGAGTATTTCACCATGAAATGCAATAATCTACCTTCGAAATTCTAACGAAACTAATGTCAAATGTTTTTTAAAGAGGCTTTGGTGTCTTCGAAAGGATGTGCATGTAGATAAGAGAAAGATTCACATCCACACGCATACCCACACCTTTCATCGAAACTCTACATCGGCATCCACAAGAAATATTAATTTAGCAGACAAATTATAAAAAACTTGATCGAATAAGGGTAAACCGTGCAAACTGACGGATCTTTTATGAAATGCGGTTAACCGTCGACGTTGATGAAAAATTGATGACATGCGAAGAGTTTACAATAACACATTTGAGAATATTTCAAAATATCAAGATATTTCATGACTAAAAAAAATAAAGCAACTTATGTAGCTCTCTTCAAAACGGTTTCATAGATTCGAAATATTATTTCAATTTTTCTATTCTTATTTGAAATCAATCAAAAAACTTCTCAAAGATCACAAAAAAATCTTCTACAATTTCTTCTCGGATATTCTTAGAAATGGATTCTCACAAGAATCAAATACTCTTTCAGTTTTAGTCTTGATCAACAAACCTTTTTCTTTCTGTCTGAGAAAATTATTTGCTCTTTTTTTTTTAAACAATCTACATGGAAATCAGCTATGCAGATCGTGCCGGCAATTCCATTGTTATTGAATATATGACCATTTTAAGAGGTACCAATGCAAATATCGTAGAATGGTCATTAAGAAAAACGATTGATACTAGAGGCACTTTTTTCTACAAAGTTTCGGATAATTTCTATGTAATAAATCGTGTACACGTTTGTATTATTGCTTGTAATACAAGCAACAAACAATCGAGAATAGTGTGGCATGATGGTCAAACATTTTTTATCGTTGATACTATTCCTACATGGAAAGTAGACCAACATATGACAACACAATTGATCGATAATCGAGAGAATAAACGAGCTATTATCGTTATACAAGAGTTTGTATGAGAACGATTCAAGATAAAAATTTCTTTTTTTTTTCAAAAAAGAAAAACCGTTTTGATTGACACATGATCAATCTATCATCCAGAGATATATCCAAGCAGACAAGGTTTCGCAAAAACGCATTTAAACGCTCGAAAGCAGAGTCTTTTCTCAGCGTTTAAACGAACGTGGAATAGAATGGTAGGGTAAAAACCAGAAAACCTGAGTTAAGAGCGTGAACGCATACAAAGATCTTTTGTGGAATATAATATATATAGGCGTGTAAACGTGCGAAAAGCTAGTATTATGATCGTGCTCATGCTCATTCTATCTCGCATGCGTCAAGGGGGAAACAACTGACTTTATGACTTAAATGATCTAAATGACTTTAAAGTCATAAAAGTCAGTTGGTTTCCTCTTGGATTCTATTCATGTCCACTGTGGCTGTCGAGTTTCCGTTGGGCTAATGAAACAAGGAAATAATTTCCCATGCTCTAGCTGTTATCGACATTCATAAACACGAAGATCCTCAATGCTTAAAATCGAAATTACAATCCAATCTGGTCTATTATTATACGCATGATATTTTTGAAACTCAAAAAATCGTCATCATGACAATCAGCGAGTATAAAAAATAATCAGACATTATTGTTTTTCTGATTCTAATTCGTTCATTGACTCTAGATGTGTGTCATCCTCACAGAATTGTGTATATTCACAGAAACTCCGTGAAAAACTCATATATTCTACAGAAACTGAATGGCATAAATATAATTGACATATAAGGAATCAAATCCAAGTACTGGATACTGTTCGGTCTTATATTTTAGCTAGGGAGAACTCAGTGAGCCTAAGAAAGTCCTAATAAGATTCACGACCGTAATCTATACACCAAGAGTTATGATTGTTTTACTGGGATTCTGGCGTATTCGTTGAAATATTGAATTGCAAAAATTGAGGTCTGAAATTCTTATCTAAGATACATTTCATAGACTTGATAATACTCTAAAAGTTTTAGCTAACAACAATATTGCTTTCTCAAGATAGTGAGTATTCATGTAAACTCGGTTTGCGTGCGAGGTCGTTGACAAATAATTAGGTTTTGAAGATCCAACATCACAACAAAAGTACATTAAAGTTGCAGTTAATACTTTCAGGGAACTATATGAACTACCAGACTTGTGTAAGAACAAAATTGCAGACGTAAAACTCACAACCCAACATTCCCAATGAATATACCTACGGATACGCATGAAATTTACCAAAGGAGTCCTAACACTTGACCCACAAAATATGGCCACGAACAATGGTGAATTTAGGTTTTTGGAAGAGGTGAAGCGATGAGTAAAAATGAATTTGAAGGCCCATTCGATCTAGTACAAACTAATATCAGCGCCAGAATTCAAGGCAGGTGGAGTTTTTTGAATAACTTTTGATAGGAACAAGATAGAGAGCTGCAGTTTTCACCAGTGGAAAGAGGGGACAAAGATGTATCGAATCATACGTAAACTTATTTTTGTAAACATGTTCTTGTAAAGTTTTTCAATAAATATTGAACAAAAACAGTGCCGAAAAAATTAACAAAATAATTTTTTTTTATCACGGAAATTACTAGAATAACAGGCTGATAGTTCAGAATAAAATACTTGTATCTTTTGTCTAATTCAAGTTAAACAGCTCAGCCTTGCACCGTTGTGTAGATCTATAGTTGGAGAGTTTAATGCATATCTGAAAATTGAAAATTGAAAATTTACTGTTGTCAAGTTCATGAGATACATTAATTTTAGAGAAAAATTTGATTGAGAACATAAAAACCAGTGTTAGAAATACTTGCAATATATGATTCGATGCGTCTTCGTCTTCTCTTTCCAACGCTGAAGACCGCGGCTCTCTATCTTGTTCCTGTGAAAAGTTATTCAAAAAACATCCACCTACCTTGACTTCTGGCGCTGATATTAGTTTTTTGTTTGTTGTTTACGGTAAAAATTTTGACAGAAGGAACGATTACTTCATTGTCCTCCTGTCTAAATTCACTACTGGTCGCGAGTTAGACTAGGGTTTTCTTAGTTCCACTGAGTCCCACTCATAACCAGAACATGAAGTGGAATAGCATCTTACAGTTGAATATGCTTCTCTGTTAGTCTCGTTTTTCAATATTTTCAGTCTGAAAATATTCGTCGTTTTTCTCATTTCTAGTTTTCCCATGTATTCATGATCACCAGATTTCTCTAATAATATTCATTAATCTACTTTTTGATAGAAGCTTGAGTGTTCGTTTAATTGTAAGTTGTATTTTCATTATTGTTCACATCAATATCATGTGGATGCAGTACCTGAGATCAAATGTGATTGTTGAAGATCACGTCGTTTTCTAATCAAGAACGACATATTGCGAAAGGCGGCGATATGATAAACATATTATGAAACAAATCGAACGATAGACTAGTTGATCTATGTGTTGTTCAGCAGAACAATTAAGCTGAAAGCGAAGAGCCAACATAAAACGGGGATGAGTGTTCTCTTGGATATCTCGTAGCATATTATAAGTTAGAAAAATAGTGGAAATCGAATTCTCAAAATATAATGAGATACAAATCGAAATATAAGCAGATAGACTATGGAGATTCTCAATCTTTCAGATGATTTAAGTCATAAAATCATAAAAATCATTGAAGTTCTAAAGTTATTTGCTTCTCCCTTGCATGAGATGCTAAGAATCTTGACTCCACGACTGCTTTCGCTATTTCTCAATGTGACATGTAGAAATCTCAAGTAATAATGGGATGCAAAGCAAGATACATGATGAAAAACAATACTAATTTTTGATCTTTCAGATCATCTAAGTCAAAAAAAAGTCATTTAAAGTCATTAAGTCATGTAAAATCATTTAAATTATTTAAGTCATAAAGTCAGTTTTTTTTCTTTTGTGAATTATCCTATTCCAGAATTTTTTCTGGGTGATCCATGGTTAATAGGCTGAAATCAGGGGTCTCAGGAAAACCTTTGTATCTCTTGAACCAAACAAGCTAGAAAGATGGGTCATTCGTAGATTGAAAGAGAACAATTTTTCTACCAGAAATATAAATTCACAATTGAGCCAAGTTGCAAAGTGGGTCCAAAGTATCGTGCTCAACATNTGCTCAACATGTCCCTAGAAATTGCATTCGGTTGGTTCATTGCTGACCACTCAGCTTTTAGCATATGTTGATGCGTCTGGATCTTCTCTTTCTAATGGTGAAAACCGCAACTCACTATCTTGCTCCTATCAAAAGTTATTCGAAAAATATCCGCCCATCTTTTTTTTTGAAATGGACAATAGTTATATTCTATACGTATTTTGGTAAAATCATTGTTTTTGTACCATTCTCGAAGCGTATATTGATATGCTTAACATGTGAACAGATTCTAGATGAATATTGACTAACATTCTCTTTCAAATATTCTGAGTTATTGATGATTTTGAATGACTATCACGATCTAAATGACTTTAAAGTCATAAAAGTCAGTTATTTCCCCCTTGGTTAAGGCATATTTTATTTGTGATAAATGAACGCGGATGAAAAAAAAATCAAATCATACACTGTATGAGAAATCAAAGTTCAATGAATGCAAAAATAGTTCTGTTACTTTAACACGCATTGGAGGTAATGTTATATTTATTTATACCACCACTCATGTCAGATCTTGTATAGAAATTACCCTTGCTATCAAGCCGTATTCTCATTGAATAATAATAATAGTAATAATTTAGTGATATTATTGATGTCAAACTGGACGTGCTAGGTGTCCATCTAGTAATATTGTTGGAACCAGTGACGTATATATTACCTGCATTGTCAGCAATCAAGCCGGCATTACCCCACCCGTACATGTAAGATCCAGAGTAGAATAAATATCTACTATATTGGTTTCCTGATGAAAAGGCCAAGATACGACTAAAATACAAATAAGAAGCTTCTTGAATAGGTAGAATCGATCGTAAAACACGAAATCCTCAAACTTGTAAAAAGAATTGTTTAGTGTGATTAATAGGTTTTCAGTTCGAATTCTGATTGAACTTGACAGTAATATTCGTGAGAAAATATAAGAAGATTTGCAGTTTATACGATATATAAATCAAGGAGTTATCTACGATGTGCTCATAGGATCATTCTCTACCTCATTATGGTGAACATTTTTCGTTTACTAGCTTATGCTTGGTCGAAAAACCTGCAAATTTTACGAAAGTCATAAAATTTCAAAAAGGAATGAAACATCATCTTGTCATATGCACCTATATTATTCTTCGAAACTTATGTTTTCTGGAAAGTCTGCGTAGAAACACTCATCCTGAGAAAATGTTTCAGAATTTAAGTGTAAATCTATCGAATTCTACAATACTAAGTCGCTTTATTAAAAAATATCTCCAAAGACTCTTGGTTGACTCCACAAAACAATCTGATGTGGTTTTTCTAAACAGCATCAATTGAGATACTTTACCTATTACCCATATCTGCGACATATACAGTATTGTTCGCATCGACGAATATTCCTCGAGGATTATTCAGTTGGTTCAATTGTGATCCTGATGTATTTGATGTACCCGCAACGACACTAGCAAAAGGATTATTTGGTGTAATTTTGATCACACGATAATTGGTATTATCACAGCAGTACACTGCGCCTTGACGATCGACAAAAATGTCTGCACATCCACAAAACTGGTTCAATGCTGCGCCACACTGAGTTTCACCAAAGATAGTGGTGCCATTAACCCAATCAGTCGAATCATACTTCTGTAGACGATAATAGTTAACCCAATATAGCGTCCCTTGTCGATGAAGTTATATTTGTATTCTATACAATATCCGCCAGCAATCTTACCCACCTTCCAAAGCGTCAAGTGTCTTCAATGTGTTTCAATCCCGTAGGCTGAGTTTTTCATCGGCAATACNCATTTTTTTAATGTAATTGTTGGCTCTGATGAATAAATAATTGGATCTATTTGGTTTGGATCCCGAGATTTAGACCATCTACGTACGATGTCATTGGCTATTACAAAAAATCTTGATAATGGATGTCGTTCTCTAAACGTGTGTTCATCTTTGATCACTCTGTTGGTTGCCTCTAATGAATTGTTAGTACTAGGTGTGAAGTAATTGTATCCTTCATACCAAGAAGAAAAATGTATGTGTCATACCAACATAAAGAATTTTTTTTATCTTAGATATTCGAACATTGTTTTATTCGAAATTACTTAGTGATAATTTATATTTTACTTAATATTTTGATTTTTTTACTGTGATTTCAATTTATTAACGTAACAAAAAAATTATTTACTTTGGATTTATTTTTTTAACTTAGTGAATATTTTTTTAACTTAGCAAATATTTTTTCTACTGAGAAACAAATTATTTACTGAGCAGTCACACAGTTTACTTAGCACTTATCCACTTAGCATTTCAATATTTTTACTGAGCAAATAATTCGTAGCCGTAAAAAAAAAGGCAATAACTCGGGAACGCAAGCAGCTAGCGACATGCGGTTTTCACCATTCTAAAGAGGACACCGAGGCACGTAGGTATTCAAGAAAAAGATAATGCTTCATCGTATTCCTACAGGTTTTCTAGAAGGATCCCTGGAAAACCATCGCGCCGATTGAGGAAGTTGTGCTCGATTTTGGATCCGCATTTACTCTTTTGATAGCCTAGGATCTTCCCTACATAGCCGCACATTTTTCCATTCTTCCGTTTGGGCACAAGACCTCACCCGTCAGGACTCCAGAAACGCATGCTTTTCGACTTGGTCGAGCTTGGATTCGCATGATAACATAGGTTTTTGATCATGCTGAGCACAATAGCAATGTTTTTCTCTTCTTCGAATCGAGAGAAGGTCGTCAGACAAAGATTAACAAGTGAGTTAGTTTTTGGTACCAGATCGCTTTCAATGAAATGGCCACAGCTCAGTCAGTTCACTGCCGATCGAGCTAAAATTTACAGAACAGGCTCGGGAGACGGCTCTCGTCATGATGCAAATGAGAAGACTTGCATTTATCTCCTCGAAATTGTAGGGATTTTTAGAAGACCTCAGGAAGTTTCGAAGGTTTTGGACGAAACTGACTCATTTTCTATCACTGTAATTATGAAGAAGAACCTCTACTGAGCCTGCTTTCAAGTTTCAGGTCGATCGGCAGTGAACTGACTAAGCTGTGGCCATTTCATTGAAAGCCATCTGGTACCCAAAACTGACCCACTTGTTAATCTTTGTCTGACGACCTTTTCTCGATTCGAAGAAGAGAACAAACACCGTCATCATGTTCAGCACGATCGAAAACCTATGTTTTCATGAGAATTAGAGCTTGACCAAGTCGAAAAGCATGCTTTTCGGGGGTCCTGGCGGGTGAGGTCTCGTGCCCAAACTGAAGAATGGAAAAATGTGCGGCTATATAGAGAAGATCCTAGGCTGTGCAAAGATTTAATGCGGATAGAAAATCGAGTAAAGCTTCCTCGATCGGCGAGATGGTTTTCCAGAGATCCTTCTAGAAAACCTGTAGGAATACGATGAAAAATTGTCTTTTTCTTGAATATCTACGTGCCCCGATCTCCTCTTTCGAATGGTGAAAACCTCAGGTCGCTAACTACTTGCGTTCCGGAGTTATTGTCGTTTTTTCACTCATCTTCTTTTTTGAAATGGATAGTAGTATATAATTGTTTAAATTGCTATTCTAATGGTTTTCGAGCATTCACCATTATTTTTTTCTAAAGTTTTGTTGTTGCTGTGTATTGGTATTTTTAAATAAATTTAACATATGCTCAAGTGTATAAAAATTTTATTCAAGTAAAGCTAAACCCGATGCATATAATTGTGTTTCTTCTAATTAAAGAATTGATAAAGCTATCCAAAACATAAATTTATGAATTTTCGATTCAGCTGATAATAATGGTAATAAATGTATTAAACACATTATTATTAATTCAATTAAATCAATATCAGAAAATGATTCAAGGGCTTTAACCAGTATGCATAATAATGCTTTTATTTCATAATCACTTGTTGTTTTTGGTATACAATCATAAGCAATACTGAAAAAAAAATTTTTTAGAGAAGAATAAAATAATTAATTTACATGACCCTTAGTTGTAAAACTAAATGAAATTGAAAAGCAAAACATTTAGTTAATTCTTGTCATTGTACTAACCATTCATAATCAGGTATATCATTCACATACAATCTTTCATTAATTCTAATGATGTATCTGTTATTGTTGCAAGTGATGTTAAATCTATCCTTTCAGATTATGAAATATGATTTACACGAATTACACCTAGTTAAGATGAATTTTCTCAACTTTGTGTCTGTTGATGTCAAACTAAGTCCTCGCACCTGTGGAAATTTTAACAATTAGATAGCAACAGATCACTTTGTCTGTTCCCATAAATTGTCTAGGCAAGATGGAGAAGAGAGAATGTACTTAATAATTGATATAGGTCTAGAGAGAAAGTGCAAAACAATCCATCTATCGGAAGCATCACATAAAGAACGAGAAATTCAATCTGTATAGGAAGCACACTTGACTAATCTAGGACATTTGGTATTGTGTCAGAGGTTCTGGTCGATGTCTTAACTATAGTAGCTATAGCAAACAAGGTAACTGACGCTAGCTCAACTCTACCAGACGATGAACAGACATAATTGGCTATCGATTGAACAATCGAAAGTTGCAAAATAGCGGATAAAGTGAGTGAACTTCTGCCATCTTTTCATTTCGTTGAACGACAGTGAACAAATTGACCTATTTGATCACGAACAAATATTAGCTGTTCACAATAGATAACCACACCAGTCAAGTTTAACTTGTAACAAACAGAAAAAGAACATAAACGGCGCTGCGCTCAGAGCGAGGGTGGATGTGGGTGTTGATCTTCTTTTCACCCATACTCACACCTACCCACAAGACCACTGACAGATAATGAATCATTCACATCGAAAAAGCTTTTTGTCAAAGATTCTTATAGACGAAGTTCTACCTTGTGTTTCTAATTGAATTTTGTTACCGTTCACACACTCCAGCCTTTCAGTCTAGTGAATAAAAAATCAATTATACGCCTAGGTTAGTTGTTTCTACTATTGCTTGTAGAATTTCAGTATCCACTAAAATTCAGCCAATCCTTTCTCAAGGTGGGGACACTGTTCCGTATAACATTTTAAACCATGTTCACTTCTTGTGTTGCGTCGACGTTCATTGTTGAGTGAACGATCGGACGAGCAACGGGCCTACAATGCCGATAGAATATCAACAAATAAAAGGTCATTATATATATTTGTGTTAATGTTCATTAGACAAGATTATATTGAATGAACAAACAATCGAAAGCAAATGGAGGAATTTCCGTGCGAGTTATTACATCGCATCTTTTTGGATATTGATCAATTGTCAGATCTTCTGTGTGTGTCTCTTGTCTGTCGTCGCTGGCGATCGTGTGTTATGGATAACGAATGTTTTCTCAATCTATGGTTCTCTCAAGCATTGGAGCATTCTCGACAAACAGTTTTTTGTAAATGTTTGGATAATAGTGACGATAACCATGAGCGAATATCGACGAGGAACATCTCTCGGTCTATCTTTCCTATCAATCTTCAATCATGTGAGTGTTACTTTTTACCTTCAACTGATTCGAGGTTATGGAATAGATTTAGCTTCTTACATTGGTACCCTATGTCACTCTTTAAGTCATCTCATTCTTTCTCTTTCTGGCTTTTTTTACCTCGTCGTTCTCGACTAAGAGTACACATTAACAATTTTACTCTCAACGGTTTGTTTGTTTACTTCTGCGGTAATGAAAATTATCATTTTGACAATAATAATAATCGGATATTGATCGGCAATCGATGGGCATATATTACATTGACCAAAATTGATGCACAGTCGAACTATCAAATCTGGATCGATGGACAACAGATATCGAAATTCGATGGCTATCTAATATTGAAGAATAAGCAGGCAAAAAATCCAATGTGTAATTGTATTTTATTCTATTATGAATGTGACAATAATTCATCACCGAAACCTCTCCAAGCTTGTATAGCCGATCTGAATGCTTTCAAACGATGTTTGACATCTGTCGAAATTCGAGCTATTCATCAACAGCAAACATCAATGAATCGAGTGAAAGTGGGCAAATATATTCACAGCAACAAAATATCCACCAAAAAGACCAACTGTTTCTTCAAACTGAATTACTTACGATGCGGATGGTTTCACTATTTTTCTCTTAATTTTTTGATTGTGTTCATGCGCTACTTTTCGTTATTCATGTTCAAATAAATAAAAGAAACAAAATACAATTAAGTCAGTTTTTGAACAACGACAGCATTTTCTTGTTCAGAATCGACAAAATTCAGTGAAATAAATGTCGATATGTGAGTATGACAGAACGAACTCTTATCTATTATGATTCTTTGTCTTGTCCGTACAATATGAGATATTTGTGCGATCTTTTCCTAATCATTTGATATCTTTGAACACATTACAACATTCCGAAAGAGATATTTGCGAGGAAAAAAATTAAGATAGGATATTTGAAACTAGTGTTTTGATCAGCTCATAAAAGTGAGGACAAATGACTGACACCCATCAACTAAAAACAAGTCATTCTCAGAAAGAAGAAAAAAACAGTAAATATCAATGATGAATCTGAATCAAAAACACAAAACATTTTTCTTTCACTAATACTCTAATGAATTACTTGTTATTGAATCAGCCGAGTGATTTTAAAAGATAATTCTTGGCGAAGAGACTAGAACAAAGTATCATGTACTGTCATAATGTGACTGCAAGACACAGTATCAAAGCACTTGAATTGATGAGTATTCCTTGTTATAGAAAAGCAGATCAATATCGACATTCAAAGCCACTAAATGTAATATCAGTTTGACCTATGTCTTTATCATTTCAAGAAAGCCGAAGAGGATATTAACCATTTGAAAAATTCACAAATAGTTTCGTAAGTTAGTTTAGATCTTCCAAGACTTTTCAAACAAATACAGAGGGAATATATAATAGAAATGCTCATTTTAATCTAAACCATTTTTTCATTCGGCATCATTTTGATCAACAGTAGTTTCCTAGTCGAGACACCCATCAATTTAATTTCGAGAATCACTCAACATGTTTCAATTTACGGAAATTTTGAACATTTACTCATCTGACAAATCTTCTTCATTTATTCGCGAGACTTCACACGATTTATCAGTATTTGTGCATGGGTGATAGTCTCTATCTATTGATGAAATTTGTCAAGTCCTTTCTAAGTATTTCTACTGCTGATAGTGCGCCATCTCTGCGTAAGCTCTGTCGAATTTAATCTATCGATTGTTTGATTTTCTTCCTTTTGAGCTCGTGCTCGTTTTGTCTTAGTGGAATATTGAAAAGTCGAACTTTGAATCTATATTGTTATTTATCCATCCATTTTCCGACATTCCAATGTATCTCTTCATCTTTTCCATTTTTTCCTCCTATTTTCACTAATCTAATCTTGCCCTTAATTATTTCCAGAACAAATGCTCGGCAAATTTATCGATAGCTGTTACGTGAGCAATTTCAATAACACAATCGACTTTTTATCGCCATCGTCATGTGTCTAAAACAAAACATTTCATATCGATTGAGATCGAAAGAAAAAAAGAATAGAAATAAACAGTATCATAATAGATACAGCACGAACATTTTCTGATTTCGAAAAAACTGCAGATTAGATGAATAAAATATTCTATGTATTGAGATGCGCTCGTAATTTGTCCAACAGCTGATCGATTCCGCTGGTCTGAACTGAAGACTGAAATGAATTCCAAGTGAATCATTCGGAATCTCGATGCTCGCTTGGCATCACCTAAGTACGAAGGAATTCAAATCGATTATCGATCCATCTAACTCGTTACTTACTATCGTTGAATCAAATTTCAGTCGTACGAGAAATATCGTCAATGTCTTTTTGGCCATCTCGTCTCCAAAACGTTGGTATTTTTTTACATTTTCAAAGCAAAAATTCTGATCAATATCGATATCGGATGATTGAATGACTGTTTCTTCAAGAAGTTCTATAAACAAAAATAATTCATATTTCCATGATGAAAATGAATGTTTATTGACAAAATTTTCAACAGACGAAATATGTAGATCTATAAGAAATTAGTATGAAATTCTTGTTTTTTTTATCTATCTAATTTCGTGCTTAAAAGTTTCAACTTGATGATCGTTTTTTCTTACGGTTTTTATAGACATATTTGCTTCCCCAATTCAGATAATATGAGACTCAGAAAATATTGAACAATCGAAACAAAATGATACATCATGAACAGGTTTTTCATTAGTTATTGGCAGGCAAGGCCGATTCATGCTCCTGTTTGTATTTTTATTATTGTAGTTTTCTCATCTCTTGACTTTGTTTTCAGTTAAAATGGTTTTAATATGAGCGAAGTTTTTTATATAGACTTTTATCAAAAAAAAAATGAGCCAAATAGGGTGTGGGTGTGTGGGTGGGTGTGGGGTGTGGGTGTGTGGGTGTGGATGTGGGTGTGGGTGTGGGTGTGGTGTGGACTAGGATGTTTGCTGACACCTAGATCGACATGCAAACCCACACCCACACCCACACCCACACCCACCCACACCCACATCCACATCCACATCCACACCCACACCCACACCCACACCCTTTTTCAAATGAAATTATATGTTATATTGAATTAACTCCGTAAGTCTATGATTGATTCTTATTTGAAATAGTTGATAAAGCAGAAAATTTGTCTCTTGATATCTGAAGTTCGTTTACTTTTATAATAAGATAAACAGTTTTTATCGTTTTCTATTGTTAAAGTTATAATTTCAATCAGCGTTTTGATTAACGAAACTTTTTTGGGAAGCATCTCAACCAAGTATGAATTCACTATATAAATAATCAATAAGTCATTAATAAATGCTGTTAAAATTAATTTTATTGATCTTCTAAAAACTGATACTAAGAATTGACTTCATGATCTTAAAATTTCCTTGATACTGAATTGAATCAATCGATTTTATAATTATTAAAAAGTATCGATATCAAAAAAGAATTGAAAAGCAAAAGCAAACAATATGAACTCGATAAGAAAAACAATGAACGAACCCTTGATCAATATTCTCGTTCGGAAATGAACACATTCAAACTACTGAGAGATAATTAGATTAATATGAGAAAGAACAACAAAAAGAAATTCATCTGTTCACTTTTGTTGGCTGGAATAATTTACTGAAGAATAGTCATCTCTGCAAATGTTAATAGGTAGTTATCAGTTCATGCAAGATTTCACTAGAGGTTCATTTTCTCCTAAGAGAAAATTCATAGATTTGTTTGTATGAACAACAATTTCTTTTTTGTTTTTGGAAATTCCATAAATGAAATATGTAACGGAGTTTAAAAACATGAATATTAATCCGTATCCGTGCTTTTACAGATCAAAGTCAAACACAAATAAATTGCTTTTCAACTTTTATAACTAAATCTCGTTAATTATCTTAACTGTGATGGTTGTCAATAAATAAGTCTATTATATGCTAATTGAACGAACAGATATATATTACCTTCGAACTACAATACTGTCATCGAGAGTTGTCCATAACTCTCAATGATCTTTTTTTAATAAGATTGTGGTTAAAGTCTATGTGTCCTCCAAGCAGGGTTCTGATCACTCGTAATGACAACAAATTCTTATTGCTTTTAAAAATAAAAAGAATTCTACTACACCCCCCCCCCCCGCAATAGAAGACCCTGGGTCTATTATTATGTTCCAGCATAAAAATTTTCAAGGGGGGTCTTGTATTATGTCCCATTTTTTTTTCCAATTTTTAATTAAAAAGATTTTCTAGAAAACCGAGCAGATTTGGGTGTGGGTGATAATCAATAAACACAGCGCACTCACATCCATACCCACACCCACATCCTGTATCTGCAACGGTGGTCCCAGGCTAGGGTGTAGGTGTGTGTGTCGACGATACTAATACCCATACCCACATCCACACCTCCACCCCGCACTCACACCCACACCCACAACCGGTAATTTAATCTGACTCACCTATTAAAAGGATACAGGAGAGTTACTGAAGTCAGATACAGTCTCATCATGTTATTTTTATTCTGCAATTCCTATGCGATGCGAAATGTCAAATATTTCTGCAAAGAAATGTAAGAAAAGTTTTCTAATTAATTCTGGATAAATAGAAACGAACGTTACAATATTTTTATTGAAAGCAAAACTTTTTCTATAAGAATTTGTTAAATTAATAATTTTCCAACAAAAAACTCAGCAGAAATCATTGATGGATAAATGTATTTGTCTTGAGAGTCTCACTTGAGCAACATTCACATGTGTTCAAAAGAATATCCATGCTATAAGATTCACTGTTCATGGCGACAATATCTTGACAACCATCACCGTTAAAATCACCGACAACCATCGAAGTGTAGGGACCATTAAATTCACTCGAAAATATTGTTTGTTTGTCAAAATTTCCATCACCATGTCCAAGTAGCACACCTATACTATGTGATTTATTCTGGCCAATAGCGATATCAAGATGACCATCACAGTTGAAATCACTGACAGCGGCTGAAAGCGTTATTACAGCAGTTTCTATGGCAGAGTCCGCTTGTGTGCCGAAAGTGCCATTACCGTAACCAAACATCACACCAACAATGCTTTCCGACTCATAGCTGACAGCGACATCTGATCGTGTATCTTCGTTGAAATCGCCGACAGCGATGCGAATCGGAAAGAAGTGATCTCTATTGAAAGACGACTTCTGGGTTTCAAAAGTTCCATCACCATGTCCAAGAAAAACACCAATATTTCTAGTATTTAAATTGGCAACAGCGATGTCTTTGTAAGTATCACCGTTAAAGTCAGCGATAGCAAGCGATCGTGGGTAACTACCACGTCCGGTCGAAAATGTTGTCTGTGCTGAAAAATTTCCGTTACCATTTCCAAGCAAGATACCAACGCTATCGATTCCATAATTTACGACGGCGATATCTAAATAATTGTCACTGTTGAAGTCAGCTACAGAGATGTCCACTGGGTAACTGCCATGTGCTGTTGAGAACCTAACTGGTGCTTCAAAAGTTCCATTGCCATTTCCGAGCATGATAGCCACTTGGCCTCCGTCATAATCGTTGAAAGTGAGATCGAGTTGATTGTCATTGTTGAAATCACCAGCAGCGAATCTTAGCCAAGTAACACCCCATACCGGAAGCGATAATTCATCTGAAAAAGTTCCGTTACCATTTCCAAGCGTCACATACATACATTGGGTCACTTGACGTGCAAAAGCAAGATCGAGTCGATGATCACCATTAAAATCAGCAACAACTGGTGGTAGTAAATCAACCTCCAAATAAGCTGGATATAATGATATAGGTTCAAATTTTAACTGACAAATTGTTACTAATAAAAGAAAACAATGAAATAGTGTTCAGTGCTAAAATCAGAAATATTTGAGAAGGAATTTATGCGAACTACAATTATGTTGAGCATTTGTTTCTTAGTTTTACGAGTCATTACATATGAGAAATGGCTGATTCTTGGAAACGCTGTTTGTCATGAACACAGTAATATTAGATTATGTTTTTAAAAATCTGTAATTCGTTGACTTTATGAATTGACCTGTGATAAAGTGATATCTATAGAAATGTTCAATAGCAATCATGTTATTCAATTGTAATCATGCATTGTTCTACAAATAAATATAAAAATGGCAACTATCACTATTTCAACAGATATCATCAACAGTAAATTAACTTCTCTCATTTCAAATAAAACTTTTTCTCATACATTCACTCTCAAAATCGAATAAACACCTTGTATAGACGATATTGTAATTATTTGATAATTGTATTTGATCTACTTTTGTGAAGCTCACATACGTTTGACGACGAAAAATGATGAGTGGAAGTTTAAACTGAGATTTTCGTCTCCTTCATACCTTGGCAACCCGGATTACAAACAAACGTGATTGGATATGAATCCTTCTCTAGCAATCGAGAACAGCAGATACAAAACTCGTTTTCCAAAGTTTCTTAACTTCGGAAAAAGACATTAAATGGCATTGACAATAAAGCTTAAACTATTCTAGAAAAGATTTCAAAGCCTTCTTTGGAATTAAAATGACTGGACTGTGGTGTTGAATGTTATTAATACTGCAGTCTTTTATTTTTATTCATATAAACGATTATATGATAAATATCAAAGATTATAGATAGTAATGTACTAATTTGCTACAGTCGTCATATGCCCAACACAAAGAGCATAAACTGATCAAGTTCTAACTTTCGGGAATAATGAATATTACTGTTTCTAATTTTTATCGAAATACATAATAGCGCATTGAAATCTGCTGTGGATATAACGAATGCGTATAGCAGGCTTATTTGTCAGTTAAATCAATGATTAGAATAAGAATTAATAAATAGAGCGCTAGTAGAAAAAAAATAAAAGCAAAAAATTCTTATCGAAATACAGAAATAAATAAAACGAATCGTTTATCTGACGATCGATTGTTCTTGGAAAGCAACTATCGTTTGTGAGATATTATTCACTTGACGTATTTGTTTATTAGTATAATGAAGCTGAAGAAGATATAAGAGTTTCATATATTTACCGGCAATGGAGCTGTACTGACAAGTTTTTCAAAACGTGAAAACCTCCGGTTATGGAGCAATTTATAGATGTTCTTGTCAACAATACCATTTTATCAGAACCTATTTTCTCGAAACATGAAGACCTACAGAGGTAATTCGTCATGATTCAACTATTTTCTCACTAACATCTTCAAACTTTATCAAAGCGATTCAATTTTGTATTTTCTAACAAATCATACATTCATCTTTTTCGCCGGCGTCTTTTTATTAATAACATAGTTATCAAGTATTTTTCTTCTTATCATTGTTTCTCTTCTGAACCCAAACTAAGTAAAGGTACTGAATTTCTATGTAAATGGCAGAAACATCGTATAGTTATCACTCTCCGAATGGTAATCAGGGTTACCATCTCTTCCGCTTTTTCATGTAAAAAATTTTGTTTCATAGTAAAAATGAGACACAAGCTAAGACCTGTTCTTATTGAATAAATCATTATCACTGACGTGTACAATGTGTCATCGTTTTTATTGATTGATCTGCTAACTCAGTAGAAGAATACTATAAGTTTTTCTATCGAAGACAGGCTCTGCTCTCACTTCCAATTGTTGAAGTAAAATCTTAATTCAGCTTTCAACTGATACAGTGCGGGTCAAAAGTCTGTTACACATTTTTGTTTTGAGTCGTATATTAAAACTATGCAAAATTAATTTTATTTGATTATACGTCTGTATAGTAAAGGTCGAGTACTATCTATATATATCTGTTTAATTCGAAAAACCTCAATACTAAGAAAAAAAATGGCATAACAAGCTACAGAATGATACAGCTGAGTTCCATGGGTAGTCAACCAAAAAAAAACATAAAGTACTCAGAAAATTTTCTTTTTATCAGACTCTGTTGAGCTTTTTTCACTCATTATTTTGGCAACAAAAACTTCTTGAATTCCTTTGAGAAATGACGATGTGATAGTCAAAATACTAAACGCTGTAAAATAGCTATCTTCTGGAGAAATGTGACCTAGTAGGTTTTGTAGTGGAAAGTTTGCTCTACAAAACTCTATAGCCGGTTTCTCAGATACATTTAAATAGTGTGAATAAATCTCGGCAGAACATTGCATACGCGATATTCCTATGAAAAACATATGACATCCGTTTTTACGATAAATATTGTATGTAATGTTCTGTCGAGATTTATTCAAACTATTTGAATGTATCTGAGAAGCCAGCTACAGGGTTTTGTAGAGCAAACTTTCCTCTGCAAAACCTACTAGCTCACATTTCTCCAGAAGATATCTATTTTGAGATATACGAATTGACTTTTTATACTTATTTATCAGAAAGAAATCGCATTTTAAGCTATTTTACAGTGTTTAGTATTTTGACTATAACATCGTCATTTTTCAATGGAATTCAAAAAGTTTTGTTGCTAAAATAATCAGTGAAAAAAGCTCTACAAAGTCTGATAAAAAGAAAATTTTCTGAGCACTTTATGTTTTTTTTTGGTTGACTACACATGGAACTCAGCAATATCATTCTGTAGTTTGTTATACCATTTTTTTCTTAGCATTGAGGTTTAGTTGTTTTTTATTGTATTTCATATTCAAGGGTTTTTCGTATTAAACAGATATATATAGATAGTATTTGACCTCTACTATACAGACATAACCAAATAAAATGAATGTTGCATAATTTTAATATACGACTCAAAACAAAAAGTGGTACCAGATTTTTGACCCGCACTGTAGTTAATTCTTTTAGTCTACTTATTTTGTGTGCTTTATTTACAAAAAGGAAGCTTCTAATCCGAATGATTTAAATGATTCTTTTGTTTTCAATGGATATTAAGATAATAAATAAAGATGGGAGTAATCATGAAAATGCAGTAACAGTAACACCAAATATAAAGAAATGGATTTGTTTTTCGTATTCGATTTCAGCCAACAATACTTATGCAGGGAATGTTTTTTTTCGGAAATGCAGCATCTATTCAATGAATTTCGTAATCGGATGTCAGTCGATTCAATAGCTGCTGAATTACAAACTCGTCGAAACACCTTGTTGTCATGTATAGATATGCATGAACATTTCTTTTCTCACGAATTGCTGGGAGAAATCAGTTCCAATAACAAGTAACATTGAAAACAAAACGTGTCGAATAAAATTTCTATTTTTTTCATGTTATCTTCTATGTTTTGAAATTTTGTAAAAATAAAGAAATCTCAAAGCCATACATACGAAAAAATGGTTAAAACTCTAAGAAATACTAAAAGTCGATAGCAATATAAGTTTGCGCTATTTTCCGTATTTTTAGACGAACTTTTCGCTTTTCAGACTTCACGAAGTAGCAAATCTGTTCTAGATACACGAAATATTTTCAATTATTTATGCAATTAAAGCATGATCTGAGAACTACTAGCCACTTGAAGCTTGAACTTTCAAATGCATTAGCTTCAAGACCCCACAAATTAATAAGAAACCAGTGAAAATCAATCGGTCTGGTTCTAACTCTGTTCCTAATAAGAATAATTAAGAGATTTTTTTAAAATTTAATATTTTAGCCATTTTAGGTGATAAGAAGCTGAATCTGTAGATAAATATTCCTTAATTGATAGAGGATATTTTTTTCCGAAAGTATGCCGAAATTTTAAAGTTTGGATAGCAATGTTGGTTATTGATTTAGTCTTTTTTAAAAAAATGTTTCGGCTGTTCTTCTCTTGTTGCTCTTATGATGAACAATGTTCCTAGTAAGAACAATTCAATTATTTGCAAACTACTGTTAATCACTTTTTCATTTTTCGAGATACTTGAATGATTTTTGCACCATTCGATGCAGCAACCAATTCTCTATTCAGAATTGTAAAGCAAATCTGTATGTTTATTTAAAATTGCTTGGTAAAAAATAAAATTCATCAAATCTCTGAAATAGTTATTCTTATTAGAAACATTGGCTATATCGTTGGTTAAATGTTGATAAATAGTAAGATGTAAAAAATGCTTGTAAAAACTTTAGCCGCATTTGAAAATCAATTTTCCAAATATGTTTTATCGCTCAGTTGGAACTAATTAAAAAATTTATCTGAAGAACAACATCATGGAAAATCGAATATTTTTGTTTTTAGATTATTGAAAAAGATTATAAAAGAAAACAAAGATAATTTCAATTTACTGACTTGCTGTACTTGAGAATGCAGATGTTGTTGTACTTGTTCTTGAGACCGTAGTAATACTAATTGTCGAAGAACCTATCACAAAATTATTTGAGAAGCATTCAGTTAAATGTATGTTCGTCAAAAAGAACTGTTCGATAGAGTCAAGTGAATTACTTGACCGGGAACTATCACACGTCTATTTTCGATTCTTCAATAAATTCATTCCACGATCCACTAGGATTCAAGTTTTTTCTTTGACTTTATCAGTCTATTTCCAGACAATCTTTTCTATGAATATAGTTGAGCAAATCATTCGCAAAAATTTTAGTTTATTTATTTTGAACAGATGCGATTCTATTTCTTCGTTTAAGATTACTTTAAATGAAGGCAAATTATAAAATTCAATTTAAATTTATTCAAGAAAAAAAGTGAGACTTCAGGAGTGCATACATTATCGTACACCACTTGTACTTCAAATATTTCCTTGAAGTATTCAAGTGACGTTTTTTCCCTTGGATTTAGTGAACCTGAGTTAATCTTCATTTTTTTCTATTTTTGAATTATTGCCAGCAATTCCTAGTTTACTAGAAACTTAATTCCTGTTATTGTAAGATCTGACAAAAAAAAAGTCGATTTTTAGAAACGAGTCTGACAGTTTGAAGTCGCTTAAAAATGAAAATAAGATCTTATTCACTTGATTTTATAAGATTGATTTTTGAAAATATCATGAGAACATCCTATCGTGAATCATTTTTGGTTTTCTTATGCTATCAAGAACTTATCTAACTGAGTTTTCAAGTTGAATTCGTTATTCTGAATTAGATTGGCTTTGAGTTTCAAGTTCTTACTTTATTTTTGTATTTAATGAAAATGTTTAACTATGTAGCGTGACTATGAAGCAAGTAAGTATGAAAGGATATTACCTCCTAGTATAGTTTGTTTCTTACCTTGCCGAGCGAAATAAATAGAAAGCATACTGACAGCCGACACTACAAATATCAATAATATAAACGTTGTGATCATCTTGAAAGAGCATCGAACTGGTGGGAGTAAATTTGTCCTAGCAACGAGAACCGTAGATTATGAATCAAGTAAAAATAAAGAAAACATACTGAGTTGTTACATTCGTTGGCATTGAATCGAAGTCAGTAGTACGATTGAGAACGGTTGTGTTAACAGTCTCAATGGACGTTATCTCAAAACATCTGGCAGGTTGAACAATATTGATTCGCTTCTTCCGGTGTTGATATGCTTTTGCTACAATTCGAACTATGTTAGGACAAATGCTTTGGAGAACAATTGTAAGACCACCTTGAAGACCAAGTAGAACAGTCACTGTATAAAATAAATTGAATTGTTGAATGTAGGTATACGAACATAGCAAAGGTGAACATTGTTCAAAATAGAATGAATAATTAATTGTTGTTATCCATTGCTCGACGAATAAATCATTGATAAGTTCGGCTATTGTGGCATTAATTGAGAATCGACTCTTCGTTATAGAGAGAGGAGTAAGAGAATTTGTGAAATTAATACTATTTATGTAATTAGTATATTCCTGAATGAGATTGATACATGAAGAATCATACAAACATTCGAGAGTCGAAAACAGAAATGATTCACTTAGTGTGCATCCTATTTTTAAGCCTTTTATTGGAATGATTTCAGAAGACTCTAAATTAATAAAACTTGCTTGACTTGTACAATTCATATACAATCCACAAGAACATTCATCATCATAGATCATAGCTCGAGTACTCGCATAAGTTCTCAAGTACTCTTCACTCCAACGAGCAATATATTCGAAATTCGTTCCGTATGTTGATATAATAGCATTTCCATGGTTTACACTTCGAATTAAGAAGAGAAGATGAACAAATGTTGTAGGAGCATTTGATTTACTCTGTTCGATCAGTAAATCAAGACGTTTATGAAAATCTGTTTCTGGTAGAAGTTGAGCAGTGACGAATAGTGAAGAGAGAAATTGATCGATAGAATTATTCACTGATTGAATGGAATGTTCACATAATCCAGTAAGAAATTGTAAATGAGCAGAGAGAAAACGACGATAATCGATTCGTGCGTAGATGGAAAGATTAGAAACAAGATCAGATGTGAAACTAATTTGCCATTCATTTGAAATAAATGAACTCGAGCAAATCTATAGTTAATGAAAAAGAAAAAGAAAAGAAACTAGTTTTTAACTATTGTTCGAAGATTTCATAACAAGGTTATGATGAAGTATATAAAATTTTAGAAGTATTGTTCATCTTCGCTAAAGAATGACATTTTCGAAAAAAGTTGTCATGAAAGAATAAGAGATCTAAGATTAGCCGCTTAGCTGTAAAGCAGAGATTATCACGGTTTGGTTTTTGTCCCTGATCGATGCGATTTGTTTCTTAGCTAAAATGATGTAGTTTAAATTAATATTTTCAATATTTAAAGTCAAAAACAAAGTGAATAAAAAAGGATTGTACAAGTAGAAATGAAAATATTTAAATGTTTTGTTGTCTTTCTTTGTCTAAGGAAAACAGAACGAAAACAAACCACTTACATCCTTTAGGGATAAAAAGCATTTACGTAATGATCAACTAAATTCAAATTCAATACAACATGGATTTATATATAATAATCTTTCTCCAATAATAGAAGGAGCCGAGTATTCTATTATATGTATAAGGAAATAAATGTTCCAAGGGAGTCTTCTATGAGACAACTTATTCGGAAGCATCTTCCAAGTTGTAACTTGTCACTCAATGTAGGGGACACAGCATAAGCGGATGCAAAAAAATCAGAGCGATGCATAGTCGAATTTGAAAAGGTGGATGAAGAGAAGGCGCAACGCCACACATGCCCCACTCTATTATCGTGGAAGTTTGGATGACAATTGTTTGGAATAAGACGAGCGAGTTGAGCTAAAAAGTTACACAGCTTTAGCTATTTACAGTGGAATTTTTATATCGTTTTTTTTTCGATTCCTTTTAAAGTCTGAAAAACTCAAACCGAATCCATCCCTGCTAAAAAGTGAATGTTTGGCCGTATCAAAAACGTGTGGATATACACGTTTATGATTTTAAATAGTTAAAGATGAGAGTATAGCGCGTTTGCAATTACTACCGATGAAAATTCGGTTTCATGCAATCAAACTTAAATCAGTCGTGAAAACGCTGTTTTCGATTATATACGAACACAGTAACAAAGCGCTCGATTATTTCAGACATTCGATCTGAAAAAAAAACAAATATACAGCGACATTGAATCTAATTTAAACCTGTCTTCGATCATCAGTCTGTTTGAATTGCTTTTCTTCTAAACATTAATTTTGTGGAACTCAGATATATTTTTCAAAGAAAATGATGGGTGTAAATTTTAAATCGAAGTTTTGCGACTTCCCCCCCCCCCCCCCGTCCCCTTTTCCTCCTCTGCTATTATAGACCTTAGCAACCGAAATCAAATATCACTGAGTACGTTGTCATGGCAATCGAGAACAGGAGATACAAAACTCGTTTTCCAAAGTTCCTTAACTTTGGAAAAAGACGTTGAACGGCATGAACAACAAAGCTTAGACTATTCTAGAAGATTTCAAAGCATTCGTTTGGAATTAAAATGACTGGACTGTGGTGTTGAATGTTATTAATACTGTAGTCTTTGATTTTTGTTCAGATAAACAATTATATGATAAATATCAAAGATGATGTATAGTGATGTACTAATTTGTTAGAGTCGTCATATGTCCAACACAAAGAGCATAAACTGATCAAGTTCTAACTTTCGGGAATAATGAATATTACTATTTCTAAGTTTACCGAAATGTATAATAGTGCGTCGAGATCTGCTGTGGATACAACGAATGCGTACAGTAGTCTTATTTGTCAGTTAAATCAATGATTAGAATAAGAATTAAATAGGGCGCTACTAGAAGAAAAAAAAATAAAAGCAAAAAATTCTTATCGAAATGCAGAAATAAATAAAACGAATCGTTTATCTGACGATTGATTATTCTTGGAAAGCAACTATCGTTTGTGAGATATTATTCACTTGACGTATTTTTTTATTAGTATAATGAAGCTGAAGAAGATATAAGAGTTGTTTTGATTGAAAAATATCGAACGAAAATATTACCGATGAAGATATTCATATTCTTTCAAAAGCATCATTTAGACTTCAACTTTCATTTCAATTTGGATTGGCATAATTTCTTTTTACCTCATGAAATTCTGCTTCAATTTTGACAAATCGATTGTGTGGCGATGCAATAATTGAACATGGGCATTGCAATTTGTTTCCATACTTTTGTATGAGGTCATTGTATAAGCCGAAAGATGGTCTATGAAAAGTTTTCGTCAGAGTTTGAGGTTGAACGATGGTGTAAATGGTGAGAATAGAAAGACCAATAATGAACAGAACAATATAGAGAAGAGTAGCCCACTGACCGAGACGTTTAACTGTCATTTGATCAATATTTCTTTCAAAATTTCGCCGAGAGAATATGTTTAGATTGACCAAATTGGCATATAAAAGTGTGGTTATATTCTGCATGATCACTTTTAGTTGGTCGAACCACTTGAGACGAACTATGCACAGAAAGAGAAAATATTAAATCCTCTGTTGTTATCAAGTAAATTCAATCATTATGCTGCTCAGATAAATTAAACAAAATGGGGCACACTCTTTCATATCTAAACTTTCATGCTATATCACAAAATTCAGAAATGAAATTTGTTATTTTTTGGTCAGTCTTATGACTAATTGAAAAATATTCTATAGCTTAATGAAACTTGTGAATGTTACTTTGAAAAAGATTTTACTAACACAGATCTTCATGTTGGAGAATTGCGAAAAAAATTCTAGAACCTTTGAAATTGTACACAGACTCATATTGATTGATCTCATGCAATAAAGTTTCTGCTCAATTCAGTTAAAAAAAAATTATATTCAATATTCGACTCTAATATTAGAAAACAAAATTCAGCTGAAAAATCTTTAAATACAGAAATAATTAAAATATTTATTAAACAAAAAAACTTTGACTTTCATCTAGACTCAAATTCAACGAGAAGTGGGACATAATTCTGTAGTTTTCAAGTACGTCAAATAAGCACAAAAATATGTATTTTCTTCCTGATGGAAAAATTTATCTGATTTACGTAACAATCAATTTTAATCTATCTCAATTTTAAGAATAATCTAACAAAAATATTCATGCAAGAATTAATGAAAAGAAACAACAAAAATTCAACTATTCGTCAAATCTGTTAAACTCATTTCAGAAGATTTTTGACAATGAATTTGGTAATTAATTGTTAAGTATCATCATATATTACGAAAGAACTTGTTCTTATCTTCTTTTTCATCTTATAGAAACTACATTAGATATAGATCTTTACTATTTTAAGATAATCAATTTTTAGTTTTCTTTTTATATACATTGGGTCAACAATTACCTCGTTGTTGTTTTTGTTCTCTTTTGTTGTACAATTTAAATAAGGAGAAAAGAAACTTGACAAGATAAGGTGTAATTAGATGTAGTGAAACAGTAAGACCTCCGATCATGGACAACATTGTTATCATCATTCCAATAATAGTTTTTGTATGAGTTCTTTGAGAATGAGTACAGTAACTTGGTGCACATGATTCGTAAAAGCGACTATATGAATATGATGGATTCCATTGTTCAATCATTATGTTTTTAACTATCATTCGAATTGATGTATTAGGAGGAAAACCACTCAATATTGGATCATAAACAAGAGGACGAACATCAAACCATGAAGATTGTGTTATACCACCAAGAAGATTATTTCGTATGTAAATCATTACAACTCGAAAGCAATCTGAGCCCGCATAGAAACACTCAAGTGTTGAGAGCAGAAGAGAATCAATAGCAGAACAGCCTTGAAACCAATTGGGCACTATATAAGCGATGCTATTACCATAATTGTCGGACGAACTACTTCCGGTATCGTAAATTGCCACCGGGCTGTGACAATTCTGATTAGTAGCACAAATACAATTGACCGATGTCGAATTGATATCATAGGTTCCAATCAAACCAAATGTCAACTAGAAGAAGAAACTGTTAGCGCAATCTCTGCGGGATTATAATGTGAAACACGATATACCCATTGTTACTAATCTTCTAAAAACTGGTCTTTTTTTAATGTATATTGGGACATATTTCGTCATCATTGTTTACTTTACAGCATAGTACTTCAACAAGCAAATATTTCATCTATATTTCAATTAGATCTTAGTTATACATCACTCCTGATAGTCCCTTGCAGCCGTCTATGACGGTTTGTGATGGGTATTGGGTTTCTCTGTCACGATCTGTGATGGTCTCTGAACTCCCTCTGTCACGGTCTGTGGGGAGTTCAAATTTCTACCCTATGTACTTCAACACTCCTTTTAAATCGTGTTTCACAAAAATAAAAATATGTGTTTCATCATACAATTAACTATGTGAAACCATTTTTACATTCTGAAATAAAAAAAAAACACTTTTTGAAAGATAAAACTCATTAGAAGATCTTGTGAAAAAAAATTCTAAAAAAAGTAAAGAGTTTCCACACCTGATACTAAATGTAACTTTGGACGGAAGGATAGCCTGACATAAAGTTTTATAACTTATTGATATTCTATTAGTGGACTGTTTTTCTCTTTCTCATCTTTATGTATTATAAATGTCTCTAATTGAACAATTAGCGTTCGTCGTTTCGACTCACTTGACCCTCGACTGTATTAGACAGAAGTATATTCCACATGTGTCGGTATCGAAGGAATTGATCTACCAGCTTTATCACAATAACTGACGCAAATTTCAACGAACATTTCCAAAACAGCTATAACCACATTTACCACCATTCAAGCAACAATATAAGATAAAAAAGTTGAATATCTCACCATCATGTCCTTCTTTCTCCACTATTACACGAAAATTTAAATCAGGATATATTTTAATGCCTGACAGAATCGTCAAAAAAACCACACGTCTTTAACTACAAACAACGAACTTATATCTTCTCCAACTCCAGATCCAAAATGTCTGACTCACTTAAGTAGTCCTACACAACACATCACCAGTTAGAAACTCAGCTACAAAAAAGGCTCATCCATGGAAACCCAGTCATGAAACAGCTGATTAAGGGAGAACTTATCAAATATGTCAAATTGGCTGAATTTTCGGTCTGAAAAATCGGATTGGTCGAGAGCCCAATATTGAAAACATGAGCATCGAGCACTTAGCCAATGTTTTTTTTTGACGTTTCATCTTTCATTCTGGCACAGACACACACAAAACTTATTTTATTTCATATAACCCTTCCTACAGTCGAGGGAATATCATTATTTTCTCAAAAAACTTTTTTCCTGACCCTAAAAATTCAACTCAAAATTTTGAGAAACTGACTTCAGATTCGGATTCTCCGACCCTGATTTACTTTCATCAATCTTTACCTCCAGCCTGAAAAAATCTGATCGGTTGAAACCCCAATATAAAAACCTCTGATTGGCTAAAATCTAAGGATGAAAAGTCTTGACTGGCATAAATCCTAATATGAAAAACCCGATTCACTGAAATTCCGATGTATTCATATTTGATAATGTTTTTTTGACCCTGACACAAACACACACAAACTCATTTTATTTCATATGACCCTTCCTACAGTGGAGGGAATATTATTCATTAGTCTTTTAAATCCATGTATTCTTTTCTGTTGTTCGTATTTTTTTTTACTTCTAATAAGATACATCTAGGAATAAATAGTAAACAATCATATTCTACTATAGTAAACTTATTCATTGTCTGTAAGTTTCAACTATAAATTAAATCATCTAAGATTAAATCTTTCTCTCTTTGCTTCGTTTTTCTCTTCTATCTATGATGGATTTATCTTCATTCTCTTCAGATTATTCTATTGCTTCTCAACTCATATTTAAATCTCAAGTAGAACAAAGAAAAAAATCAATACTTTAAATATGGAGTAAATCGATATGTCTATGACATTGAATAATAGAATTTCTAATTCATTATTGCAGTGCAATTTTGAAATTTAAAAGAGCGATCACTATTCAATTTCCAGATTCAAACAATATCCATTATGATGTGTACGTTTTAAAAACTATGACTAAAGATATGTCATAAAATCTAAATTTGTTTACGGTTCTTAATATAATATAATTTAAAATAACGTCGTTTTATCTTTGATTGAACTGTTTGAAATATAATTTCAGTAGTCAGAAAATCAAGTTCTTTTCTATTATCATGGCTTTGTTAGAAAAGTTATGATGTGTATGAATTCTTTTAACTTTTAAATATAATCCTATGACAAATTCTCCGTACGTAATTAGCCTTCTGTTAAATTGAGTTTTATTCAAAAGCACGCTAGAATTTAGTTTTTTAATTAAGTGTTGAAGCTTACATCTATTGAACACAAAAATCTCGATTTCGATACATTTTCAAGTTCAACAAGTTTTGTTTAGAAATTTTTCTCTCCAGATTTACATGGCAATGTGTTAAAATCAGAGATGTCTGTCGGCTTTGTACTATTGTTCAAAAAACAAATGTTAATGCTTTTGGATTAGCATCATTTTAACATTTATCATGACCAAGTTAACGCTTATACCTGTAATGATTTCTGATTGTTCGTTTCATTTATTACAGTATTTATGATTATGTTTCGATCCGATGCACCGTAAATCATTTGTCTTGATCCCATATAAGGTTGATCGACTTGCATAAAAAGTTCGAATGTGTTAATAAGAAGATCAAAATAGGCAATTGTCGATTGAAAAAATTGATTGAGAGTTGCATTTAATTGTGAATTAAAATCGATTTCAGTGAGTACATTTGAAGTGATGAAGGATTGCAAGATAAAGCGACGAACAGCATCATCGATCGTTTTATTAGCCAGTTGGCAAAGATCCAACAATAATTCAAATTGTGATGAAGCTATATTACGCCAATCAAGAGAAGCCCACATATTTGTGGCTGTTTTCAATATTGAAAGCCAAGGATTATTAACAAGATCACTTGAGCACACTTGATGCAAGATTGGCGACAATGAGATGAATGTATTATAAGGTATTGTCATCGTAGAACAAGGACATTTGAGTGTATTCGAATATAAGACTTGTAAATCATTATAAACGATTAATGATGGATTTGATACAGTTATTATAACTGTTTGAGTACTCAGCGACATGAAGAGAAGAATAATGAAAAATGAACCTAATGATATAAAAAAGCTTGTCAGCGCAGCTGTATGGGGCTGAAATGGGGAATTCACATATGTCCTCGAACCGCATTACAGTAATATAAAATATGTAAAGTTAAAAAATATCTTTTAGACTAGTGTTTTTCAGAATAATCGATCACTAGAGCAAAGACCTTTCTGAATTCTCCACTTCTAACAGAGAGTTTTTCATTACTTTTCAAAATTATAGCATGATCGATTTTTTGAAAAAAAATTTAAGGAATCTGACGCCTATTTTCTTCAGTTGCTAAGTCTGTAATGGGAAGGGCCACAAAACTTCGACTTAAAACTTATACTCAATATTTTCTTCGAAAATATATGTGAGTTCCACAAAATAAGACATGAACAATCTTAGTCTGTGGAGAATAGACTTAATATTACATATCAATCGGGATATTTGACTTGTCTTATCGAACATTTTAAATGAGGATAGGGTATTCTTAATAGATCACACTCATATTTCGCTGTTTCTTAGATTCATCAAGAATAAAATGTTATCTTTTCTCAAGGGAAGATAGTTCATCTAAATTAACTCAAATTCATTCACACTTAAATACAAGTGATCCGAATTTGATTGCAAATACATTTTCGTGCAAATCAACAAAACTATGTATCATTTGTTTTCTCCTAACAATTTGTACTGTGACCACCATTGGCATTACTCATTTTAAGATGAATTTCGACAATGATATTACGAGTTGGCATGTTTTAAATGTTTACCTCGAAAACCTGGCACTTTTCAAACAGCTTTCAATATTTGAACGAAGATTTTCATTCTTCTCATCGATGCTTACGGCTAATCGTACTGTCGACGTATACAGTTGTATATGTACCGTAATTTCATTGTGATCATGTCATATTCTATCGATTAAGACTGTGGCAAGGTACAGTGTATTTACTTATCGTGGCTTTTCTATTGGAGTAATTAAGTACGTAATCTAGACTTTCTTAAAAGAAAAGTTATGAAAAAAACTAAAAGGTTGATTTTCGGTTCTCAGCTTAAACAAAAGTTTCAATGTTTGTAAAATTATTCTGAAAAATTCAAATTTCTCTTGTAATTAGTTTTCAATGAGGAACTGCTAGATTCGATAGATTTTCATTAAAAAGCTAGCGATCAAATTTCTATGCTCTATAGATATGATTCAATTATTCTACTTTTTCATTTTTTAAGTAATCATCTATCAAGGTCTATACACAGGGGACAGCCACTTTCACTGGTAATTTATTGTATTTCAAGTGCAGCTTGGAATATAAGCGAAGACCGTTGAAGTTGGAATTAAGTTTTTACTGCTGAAATTACCCGTTGATCCCTTTTAATCAGTATAATAGGTTGTTAGCTACCGTTATCGGAAATTAAATAATACAGAAATAGAACAATTATTAACCATTTTTAACCAAAAGATTTCTTTTCGTCTTTAGTAATAGCAAGAAAATGTTTAATGAAAGTAATCATACTAGCTAATAGGATCAAATAGACACGAGTAATAATCTTCTGTTGTTTGATACTATTTTCTGTTATATCACCAGCCGTTTTAAACAAGTTTAGCTGTTTTGTCAATTGAGTGAATTTGCGTACACTTGTCTTATCAGGCACTAGAAATGATATACATATATGTAAATAATATCTAGGATGAGAATATTATCATTTTATTCAAAACATACAGAAAACAATACTTGTATTTCTTGAACGATATTTTAGTTTAAACAAAACATTGATCAAGAACAGTACGATGAAACGAAGTATAATAATGAGACCACCGTAGAGACTGATTAAGAATGTAAGTGCATAATATACATTAGTTTGATCTGTTCTAGTGTATATGCAGAACGAAGGAGCACACTCATCAAAATACTTTGAATAGTTCATTTTTGTTGACCATTCATCAATGAGAAGATCATTTAAATAATCATTCACAGAGATATTTTGTTGCTTTGAAGGTAGAATAAAACCGGTCCAATTCAAATGCATCTAGACCAAAACTAAAAAATCTAAGAAAGATAAAATAATGTTATACATACCTGTTTAAGAGCTGGAAAGTAGTTGATCAATAATTGAAGACATTTTATATCATATAAACAATCGAGTTTACTTCGAAGAAGAGCTTCAAAAGGAGTACATCCTGCAAAGAATCCATTGACGAATGTAGAGTTTGACATAGGATCAGACCAAGATATATAATAGAAACGTTTCGAATTGTTTGACGATTCATCAAAAATAGCTCGACTAGTTGGATTTCCATTGCCACAAGATTGCATGTATTCGAGCACGTAACCACCACCATTGTCTTCATAATATATTATTTCGATTCCCATAGCAAGGTACACAGTTTCAATACCGGAAATTTCAACTACTTTCCAGCTCTTAAACAGGTATGTATAACATTATTTTATCTTTCTTAGATTTTTNCGATTTCATGTTGTTTATGTAAAAGGAAGTAAACAATGTCAAAAACAATCTGTCGGGATATTTAATAGAAAAATTTCTATCTGCTTCTCTTATTTTTGTTTTTCTTTAGTCTAATCAAAAAGATTCCCAGAAGCTTTTTTTTTATCAACAGATTTCTGGTCCTTTAATTGACCAAGCATAGCAAGAAAATTTGCGTTTACTTTTACACTGACTTGAATAGATTGAGTTTGATCTTTGAGAACATAAAATAGTCCTATATCGAGAAAGTAATTGTAAGATCCAATGGGTATATTAGCACAGACATTATGATCTAATTATTTGATTAAATAGAAGAAATTCATAGTTCTAAAACAGACGTAAAAGATGATTTGTATTCAAAGAAAATTTTTAGAAACAATTCATTTTTTAAAATAAACTAATTATGTCAGAACCCTTTGCATTTAAAATAATGAATATCAAAGTAATATTTATTTTTTTAAGGTTTTTGGTGAATATAAGCAGTAATTAGTGTGGCGACCATCAACGTTGTTTGTAGCACTAAGACGAGACACATAGGAACATAAAAAAGTTTCACATAACTCAATGTTTGTTTCCATTTTTGTCAAAACATCTGAAATGCATTTTTACAGAATTTCTTCGTGAGAACGATTATATTCCATCTTTGACAGCATTTTTTTTGAACTCCATTTTTGATTATTGCCTCATGTTTCTAGGCCAAGCGACGATTACTTTGTGATAATCATCATTTTAAATGAGATTTAGTTTGAACTGTGTCTCATCAGAAGAATTTTTTTGTCAACAGAATGTAAAATTTTAGGAATTTGACACTGAAAAATTGCCATAATCCTTCCTATTTAGTGCTAAAAAGTCCTATTCTTGACGCACTTTCATTTAGTATAAAATCTACTGTTGATGCTCTTTGAACTCGCAGCGTCACTCTCTGAAAAAATATTATTTCCTGTCTAGTACTGAAATTGTCCTTAACTACCACTGAATATTTCTATTGACAAAATCCCTCTCGAATTGAAGAATAGTTAAAATCATAGAGTTATTTGAACAATTTGTTACTGTCTACTATAATTGAAAGAAAAATTTAATACATTCCTATAAGATATTATCTTTATAACGCAAGTCTTTCAAGTCTATTTTATTTAATTTAGGCAATTTTGTTTCAATCGAACAATTTCTTGTTTCTATCTGGTGTGTTGTTCCTGTTAATCATAAATACGACCTTTTAATCGATAATATTCCACGTGTATTAACTCATTTTGAACAAAATTTAATTTCTCATCATTATTATACTGAAACATCTTTACTTATTAATTGGTTATTAACAACTCCGAAGAAGATACATTTCAATGCTAAATCACTTCTTCATCAATTACTTCCTCTTTTATCTGATAATACAATTACATATGATCTTATTATAATCATTCGACAATTATTTGAACATAGAAAATTTCTTGAACAATTTTTTCTGATAAATAATAAACAAGAATATTATGATATTATTTATCTTTTAAATTCTTCAAAAGATTCAAAAAATTCAATTATATTTTCATCAACTTTTTCGAACTGTTCTTAAATGACGATCACGTGATATTGATAGAATTAAAGATGCTATTCAATTTATTGAAATTTTATCAACACGAAATATCAATCTTAGTTTTATACTTGTTCTTATTCATGAATTACTTTCAAATATATTCAAACAAAATAATCCAATGCCATCAATAACTGATCTTGCTAATTTACTTGTACTTTTGTCATTATCAGTTGATTCTTATCAATCATCATGTCAAGTTATTTCTCAACATATTATTCGACAAACTAAAATAACGACAACAACAGCTAGTACAGCATCGACTATTACGAACCTTTCAAGAGCAGTTCTTATACCTGCTCGTATTCAAATTTATCGACATTTTATCAATGAAAACCGAACATATGAAAAACGAAGTTTGTCTTTTTTTTTTATTTAAATTTCTCAAATGCATGTTTGTATATTTAGAACGAGGTACAATGATTAATTTTCCTTCTTGGTTTTTATTACTTTATCAAACATGTCTTTCACTACTTAATGCTTATTGCAATAGTCCTTCAACGATTCCAGCATATGATAATCTTTCGAATATTTTTGATAGTTATTGTTGTTCAATTTGTGAAGAATTATTTGTTTTTCTTTAAAATACAAATCAATTTGAAAAAACGTTTCTTACTCCAAAAGATAATATTTATGATTTTAATAGGATTGTCAAGAAATTTATTCCATTAATTATTATGACAAAATCTATGACGCCAGATAAAGAAAGTCATCAGATAAATATTCTTAAAATGTCAACGTATGATACAGAAATATCTCGTGAAAATAATCTTCTTCGTTCATTCCTTTTTCATATTCGATTATCAAATGATTTTGAAGATCGATCTGATATGACGAGAAAAAAAACGTTTTAATTCGTCATTATGATCTTCAGATTTTTTTTTCGTTTTGTTTTTATTCAGTGATCTGGGTAATAGATTCTTAACTTATTTATATATTTTTCTGTTTTTGTACTCAAGAAGAACTTTTTCTTCTTTTTATTACATAATAAACACACTGATACTTAGAACTGATGCAATATTATCTTTTATCAATATGTAAAGATCATGAATACCTAGAAAGATTTCCAGTGGAGCTCGTCAATTCTTAATGTGGATCAAGATTGAGTTATATACTGGCAAATTATTGGGCTAAACGTTGACAAATATTGAGTGTGTATCAAATATTATTTAGAACTGATTTTACTCATCATTTCAGTTTAAGAGAGAGTTCATGGGACCACTAGCCAGCACAAGCATACGAAAAATGCCTGTGGTGATTGTTGAACCGATTATAGAGTTCTTTATGCGATTGTTAAGCAATTCTGAACGTGGACTGTATCGTAGAAAAACGAGGGTGAGAGTAAATCAGAGAGACTTTTTTAACAAAAACATTTACTATGTAGGGCATTTTTTTAAGGACTAAATATCGAGAACGTGTTCGACTATACTTAGTTGATTGATAAAAGAGACCATTTCTTTATGTATTAGATTTCATTTAATATTCAATAAATGACTAATCTTTTTTGTCTTCAAAATGTCATTGTCATTTTTCTCTTTTTTCTATTAGCATTTAAAAATAAATTAATTTTTTGGGGTCAAAACACACTGAGTCTAAAAATTTTGTCATTTAACAGTTAAAATCTCTTAAATATACTTGTCAATAGTCAATAAAACAAAGAAATCTTCTGTGTACTTCTTTTCTGTTCTTTTTTTGTATGATTTTAAGTGATGTCTACCAAAATACTCATAAAAAATGAACGAGAGGGAATGCAAAAATTCTGTTCGGACAAAAACTGCAGACCCGTATTGGCTTCAGTTTCAAACCACCCGGAGACCTATATCTCTTGCGGCGATAAAGTTATAAGGATTCTCCTGAAGGCCTAAACTAGGGTATGAGTCAGCCGGAAATGTAGTCTGTTTTGACCTATAGAGCTGAAATTTTTATCAGAAGGGTATCTCACCAGGGCCATTCATCTCTGATAATTTCAGACCAAACGAATGAGTTCAAGTGGCAAATCGATTTTAAGGGTCCGCCCTTAAAATATAGTATATTGGACATTTTAGAGTGTGTATAAGTTTAGTTCAAAAAAATTATCGTTTATTAAAAATGAAGCGTTGTTGATTTTTGTTTTACAATAGCGTTCGTGATAAAAAAAAATACCAAAAAAATATGCTAGTTACAAAGTGCCTAAAATAACAAATAAACAAAGTATCTGAAATAAGACTCTTCGCTTTTGTTGCGCGTGGGTTCACCATACAGAGGTATGTTTACACCAAAAATCGATGGGAGAACCGAAATATGCATTCAAACAGAAGGTGTTTACTAATGAGAGCTTTACTGTGCTTAGAGTGATTATTTTCTTCCTTTTGGGTAAATTTCTCTGACGGTTTTTAGGCAAATTTTACAAAAAAAATACCTACCTCATCCGGCTATTTACAATGAACGCGGTTTTCATTTATAGAGAAAGTTCACTGTATTGTCAACCGCAATCAATATGTAGCTTTCTTTCTCCCAGCATTAGTCATACTTATCTTAGATGCAAAATAAATTTCGTAAGAGAAAGAAATTACAGATCGTATGAATCATTTTTATCAGAAGGACAGAAGAAAAAAGAAGTCGTCAACTATGCAAATTTTGCTGGCGTTGCTTCTATATTAATAACGATCGGATAAGCAATAAAATATCTCTCGTTCAAAAAAACATGACTTCTTCTTTAGAGGTCCGACTTGAGCGAGTTATCAAAAACTTACCTTCCGTAGGGTAGAAGATTTTCAGCAAGATCTTCTCTCCATGCAAGGACTTCATCATTGCACTTGCGATGAAGTCAAAGCATGCGATGCTTCACTACGTGTGAAACAATCGAGCGGAAAATTTTTTCCTGTTCGATGCGTTCGCGCATTGAACTTCTTAAAATAGCAAAAAAGAAAGAAAATAGGGCAAAAATATTCTGCTTCTCCTAAAACCAGTTAACTCGAATTTGCAGCGAATACATCTTTGCAATCCTCAAATCTCTCATATCCAAAATATTTTAATCCGATTGGTACTAGCAATTAACCGTTGGATTTAGTGACGAAAGTGAATTGTTGACCAATGATCAGATGCCTGGTGATTGCTGTGTGATAACGCATAAGAGCAATAAGCTCTTTTCGTTCCACATTTTTTATTGTTCTACATAAAACTGCCCCATCGTCAACTATCACAATCGGAAAATGTAAAACCTTTTGGAAACGAGATTTTAATAGAATTTTTTTTTCTCCGCTCATTAGAAATCTCACACATACAGTACGAACCACTAAGCCATGATTCAAACATAAAGCTTAATTCTATTTTTACAAATCAAAAAGCTTCCAAATACTACCACTTTTTATGATAGGTTTTGGTTTTTCTACAGATAGACTATGCATATAAGTAAGAAAAATCATTGTTTCGACCATTTGCCTAAGTTTACTACTCATTTTTTTTCCTGAAGAAACACATCTTTCGTTTTACTTTTCATTATTCTTCTGCGAATTCCCGCACATCACTAGATGCATCTCGTTATCCTACGACAAAACTTAAACATTACTACAATTTTCCACAGCATTTTTCCTCTGAAAAGGGATATTTTTCTGCTTGATTTTCATTTTTCCGCTGGAGATTCCTGTGCATGTTGGGAGCTATAACATATTTCTTTATGCACTACAATAACCCTGAAAAGGGTTATTTTTCTGTTACGCTATTTTGAATCCTTTCTCGTTCGCTTGAGTTATGTCTAACTTTCTGTTTGGATTTATTATATAGAAAGGAGCATTCTTGACCTGACTCCGTTTTTCTGCTTAAAACCATTATTTCTGTCACCGATCACAAAGTTGCCCAACCCTCGACTACTGACTATGAGCCCTACAATTGCTGAAAGTTTCATGGAAAACTGCTCGTGTTTTCTATAGGGACCGATAACAACGATAAACGTCCTTTGTCCTGTAATACGTATGAATTCGGAGATTTTCTATATCCTTTCAATATTCTAATAGCAATAAATTTTGGCTGATCTTCTCATCTTTAGTGCTTCACATTTTTTCTTCTTAAAACGTTGATAACTAATTATAGTGATAAGTAATCGATTGTTATCTTGTTTTACTAAAAGTATTCTAATATGAACAAGAAAATAAACAATCATATCAATGTTTTCTTTCTTTACTTATTCGTTAAAAGGCAATCTAATTTTTCTTGTTTTTGTATTTAAATGAATAAAGGTATTTATAATGTTTGACTTTTGAAAAAGAAAAGTTCACGATGGTGTGGATGGGTATGGGGTGTGGGTGGGTGTCGGTGGGATGTTTCTTCATCCAGACCTACACCCACACCCATACCCATACCCACACCCCAAAATGTTACCACTCGTTTCAGCTTGGTCGATTATTCCTGTTCTGACTCATTCTGGCTCGATTGGAGCCCGTTTGGTCGATTTCGAGGGTCTCTGGAAAACGCCAATAACTCCTGAACGAAACAAACTACAGGGCTCGGCCTTACGTAGATCGAAAGAGAACAATTTTTTCTATCTAATGATTGAATTTCAAGTCAAAGTCCAACGGTAAAAACTTTCCCAATACCGTTTACAAAATGTCGACCATATCTTTCACCCGATTGGTCAATTAATGACCAATCAGATTTTGACTTAATTTTATGCAGAAAATAATTCTCTTTCCAATGCGGAAAGCCGCAGGTCTCTATCTTGTTTCTATCAAAAGTTATTGATAAAATAGCCACCTGCATTATATTTTGGCGCCGACATTAGTAGTGGTTCTAGAATGGCCTTTACACCCCATCCCCGTCCTTTGAATCTGTGTAACTCCTCAAGAATGTGTAGAAAGCGAATTTCTTCAAAAGAATTCTTTGGATGCTGGATGCGTTGTTCTCACCTTGTGGAACCTTGATTGGAGATCAAGTCCGAAATATCTAGATCTTTAACTGTAGATTTTCAAAAAATGCATACTATCATTCACTTGTAAGGATGATCACATGGCTGAATTCGAATAAAAAGGATAGTTGCGGAAGCAATATAAATTATATGGAAGTTAACTATGTTTCTTGTACTGTTTATAATTAGCATATTCATTCCAAAGTCAAATTGTGATTATCAAAGTCGAAAATTATCGGATATTAGCCACGAAAGTAATTTGACTTTACAGAAATAGTTGTGGTTAAAGCAAGCAGGCTTTACTAGATATTGAATTTTCAATTGTGAAAAGTATCTNCCACTCCCACACCCACCCCCACACTCACACCCCCACCCACACCCACCCACACCCACACCCACCCCCGCCCACACCCACACCCACACCCACACCCTTTGATGATCATCAATGGTGGTTACTTGGTTGGCTACAAGCATATAGTGTTGAACCAGATATCAACTATTTGTATCGAGCTGCCAATATCCATGACTTTGTCACTGTCAATGGATGGAATGACAGTATATGTCTGGGAGGTCTGCAATGGTGTAAAACAAATACTTATAAAAACGCAATCACCAACGAATTATTTCTAATAAGTAGTATGCGTTTGCACCCGTATGCGGCACTACTGGATCGACCTCCAACATATTATCTTGACTGGGCTCTAAAAGAATGGCAATGGTTTGAAAGAAGTGGACTGATCAATGGTAATTATTTGATTAATGATGGATTGAGGTATGGATTTTCTGAAAAGAGACTAACAGCCACGTTGTGAATTTCATAATAGAAAGTATAAAACTCTCTGTTCTCTCTATCTCTCTTATTTTTAGTTCATTCAGTCAAGCGACCAGCACATCGTATAGAGAAAATCTGAACCGTTTGAGAGATGGCACATGTCTCAATAACAATGGAACCACTTGGACTTACAATCAAGGTGTTATCCTATCAGGTTTAGCACTATTATACAATGCAACACGCAATACTACTCTGCTCGATATTGCACAAAAGATAGCAGATGCTACCATACAACGGCTGATCTACTCTGACGGAATATTAAAAGAACCATGTGAACCAAACTGTAACGATGATCAAAAACTATTCAAAGGCATCTTTGTTCGTCATTTGGCTTATCTAGTACCATACCTTACAGATGCAGCTCATGTACAACAGTATCTTTCATTCTTACAACAGAATGCCGAATCTGTTTGGACGTCAAGGCGTTGCGAAGCTGATGGATTGTATAGTTTGATTTGGAGCAATCAATCTTCCAACAGTTGTGAACCATTACGCAATACATCATCGACATCAGCTGCATGGGATTTATTCATATCGGTTGCGAAAACTAAACCACCATCAATCAGATCATCATCGAACTGGACGTTGCTAGGTCTAGGCAATTGCATGGACGATAAGAATGCTAGTATGCCAAACTTTTCCAAAATGAATGTCACTGAACCTGTGTGTCGTGCAACAGCAGACCAAGACCAGGGTGCCGTTGCATACGATCATCAGCTGGGCTGTAATGGTTTTCAATTTTGTCGCATACGAACACTGTCTGATCCTCATCTAGCACCTCAAGGATGGTCTTATGAGAATGGCACAGCCAGAAATGTGACACGAACAAATAAATTTCCAGTTACGGGCTGTTTTTTAAGATTAGTCTAGAGTGGATCGTTCGGTGGATCAAAAAGAACTGAACAATGCTGCTTGATTATATGCATAATATGCATGCCACTATGATTCTAATAATAAAAACACTTCGAAAGCAACACATCATATTTATCGCGTAGAGTTGCATTTTGAACCGATTTGCTCTTCAAAGACATGAATAAAAGTAACTCAGTTCAGTGATGGTTGTTAGAATTGTTTGCATACATCTGACTAAATAAGACTCGTATTGAAAACTCAATGAAACAGTTTCCTTGCTTCTTTCTCTAACAGGCCATTCGATAAGAATGTTTACTTGTAACTTTATCTCATTGTTATCAAAAAAAAAAGAATGTAGTACCTCTTGGCAGACAAATCTTCACGCAGTAGGCATGTAACATGAAAAAACTAACTCGCTAAGGGTGTGTCTAAGTTGAGTAGAGGGTGAGGGTGTGAGATAGAAATAGGCCTTTCCACGACAAACGAATGCTTCTGTATTGCCACGACTTCTTCAAATGAATTAAATTGATAATATATCAAATAAATAATTCAAATCTTAATAGATAATTGAACAATTGAATTACTATAGTAGATATTTACCTGAAGTAAAGAATTCTTTTCCAACGAGTATATTTCATATAGTTCGATGTTTGACAACGATTGATCAATGTACTTTTTGAACATAATGTATTACATTTTATCATCTTAAACTTCTTCATCTAAAATTATTACATCTAGATTATACTGAACAAGTTTTCTTCAAAAAAAAAAGACTGATCTACCTCGTTTATTAAATCTCTGCATTAAATATCAATTACTCACAATAATAACAAACAATTTTACTCTTCATAGAACATGTTTTAAATTTGGGGGTGAGAAGTTATTGTTATTTTTTGTTATTAATAACAATAACAATAACAAAAAAAGTTATTGTTATCAATAACAAATATATCACAAAAAGTTATTTGTTATTAATAACAAAAAAATAACAAATAACTTTTTTTTTCGAAAAATCTTAGTTATGCTTTGTTACTATGTAAAAGTGTACCAGTTCTATTTGCTCATTATTGTCCAATTGCTCGATGATGTTACTGACCGCAATCTCCATTAGATAGCCTATGAAACTGAGAAAAATCCTAAAAAGATCTTTTCAAGTATCTTGCTCACCTACAGGTAAAAATTTACTAATCGGTTAACGAGGAACGATTCCTCAATCTTCGATTGCCTTTGACTTGATGTTTTGGTCAAATAAAAGTCTTTGCGAAATGAGATTCAAGGTGCCAATTTTCGAGTTATGATCCGTAAAATCTTTCTAGACATTTTATCATCTCGCAAAGGCTTATATTTGACCAACGCATCAAGTCAAAGACAATTGAGCATTGAGGAATCGTTCCTCGTAAAGCGATTAGTAAATTTTCCCTATAGATGAGCAATATACTTGAAAAGATCTTTTTAGGATTTTTCTCAGTTTCATAGGCTATCTAATGGAGATTGCGGTCAGTAGCATCATCGAGTAATCGGACAATAATGAGCAAATAGAACTGGTATACTTTTACATAGTAACGAAGCATAACTAAGATTTTTCGGAAAAAAAAGTTATTTGTTATTTTTTTGTTATTAATAACAAATAACTTTTTTTGTTATTTGTTATTGATAACAATAACTTTTTTTGTTATTGTTATTAATAACAATAACAATAAATTCACAACCCTATTTAAATATAGTTAAATACAAGATCTTGGTTTAGATAAATCATTTGTTCATTCAGAAAATTTTCTGATATATCGGGTGTCCCAGAATAAACGGATCTCCCAGTATTTGACTGACATCTCTCTTAAATTTCATCTTCTCGAGGCCAAATTTTTTTTTTTAAAGATCCGTCTGAAAATTCTCTACAAGGTAGATAATTTTTTATTTTTTCAAAAACGTTCCGTTATTTTTCAAAACACGTTGCAAACGAACAGTCCAAGATGAACAAGATTCTAGAATAACATTTGTTCGATTTTTTTTTCTGCTCNATGAATATTGATTATTTAGTTAATTTTTTAAAATACATGATGACTCGACCAAAAATCGAAATAGTAATGAGACTATATTTAAATTAAAGATAATGTCTTATTATCATTTTCATAAGAATTTTATGAAAATATTTAAAGCGATATTAATTTAAAGAGGAACGAATTTAGCAAGAATAGTTAATGCAGACATATAGAAAATGATAATGATCAAAAAGAACATTTTTCTCGAAAAATATTTTTGAAAAAAGACTTTCACATGAACAACAAATCACTTATGAGCTACAACATGGATCTGCTTATTTATTTTAATCTGTCATTGAAATTGTTTTGCATTTTTAACCTATTCAGATTATCTGAAATGATTTTCTTCTATCTTTGACTGAAATACATTTATTTATATAGAGTTGAAAGTCTCAAATTTGCCAATATCACTTTAGCTTTGAAAAAACTCTTTCAACGAATTAGAAAAAAAATTTTAAGATTTTTACTTGGACTCAAGCTTGAATGAAAAGAAAAATGGATTTTACAAATATGTCTGACTTTTTTGTACTATTCTATTTAGGTTCTTGAAAAAATAATTAATATGAGTAATTTAATAGTCTATAGTTAATGATGCAACAACGAGCCTATTTCAACACATCGAACTAACCATTGAATTGATTTACTTGTTAAATGATGATCACATAAAAAAAGCAGATCTTTTTTTTAATCTAAACTACTGATACTTCCCTTGTTTACTTTCTAAAACTTATATAGATTGATGTTATTTTTCATTATCTATCCGAATATGCTCTCTAATAACGTCGAAACAGTTGTTCTTATTCGTAAGTATGCAAAATAATTTCGTATTTTTTCATTTATTTTGTTTGATTAGTTGAACATTTTAAACTTTCTATATTGTACAAAGAAATTTTATTTTGATCTGCTTAATTTTTGTAAGTGAGAATGATATACATATATATAAGAAGTTTTCATTATCGGACAAAAGAAAAAAAAAGTTAAAACATTTTCATTATTATCTAAATAAAGCTGATTCCTGAAAAAATGTTAAAATGAGATTGAGAAATGTTTATAAATATAAAAATAAAATAAAAATTGTTTATCCTAATATAGACAAGTCAAGCGAGCAAACCGAGAAAAAAATCTAAATTCTTACTACTGTACAAGAATTAAAAAGCTATTTGAAGACGATAACCAATCAGAAATAACAATATTGAACATAATTGTACTCTTGATTTATGTTAGTTAACTTTGAAAATACAGTCCTGGACAAAAGCAACCGCCCCCCTTAAACCCGTCTTATCTCTTATGATATAAGGCTTATATTTTGGATTTAGATTGATCTTAGTGAACCTTGATTGCAAGCATCAACCCGACCTTAATCTGTTGATATGGATTCAAGTTATTAGGTCAATAACATCATCAGATTGTGAAAATCATATCTCAATCATCTTTTAACCTTTATGTTCACGCAACCCCTCATTTGCAAGCTCACTGGTGTGGCTATCTACAGTCAAAATTTGGTAAGAAACTACATTGGAATAGCGGAGATCTAAAATTCAGATTGAAAACTTTTAATCAAGTAGTTAGTCATAGTTTCTAGTCTGACGTCAATAACTCAAGCTTAACTCAATCAATTCACTTGAAAATTTCAACAATAAGTTCTCATGAGTCCACATGTTTGTGGTAGAATTTACAGAGCTGTAGCTCAATGTAGAACAAAGATAAAACCATTAGAATAGTTCATTACGACACAACGTGTCAATCAACAAAATCTCGTTATTTTTCGACGAGCTTTGTACCAATGAAACTAGATATCGTGGGCTGTAATGAGCGCTAAAAAAGCGAAAATAAATTGTAGACAAACGAAACAGCGAACGCATATTTTCTTAGATTGCATTTCCTTTCGATTTCTTCAACACATCACATATAATTTGTCTATGCATAAGATACTTCTATGGCACGAAGAATTTGGCTTTGAAATAATTTTGCCAGCTTCAGAGAGCTTCTCGTTAATTGTGGTAGTTCTATATATACGTACTCTAGAGTATTCTAATTAAAATGAGAATTCTCTGAAAACTGACCACGAATTCACTAGTATTCGAGAGTTTCGCATGCATAGATACATTGTATGTGATGTGTTGAAGAAATAGAAAGGAAATGCGATCTAAGAAAATATTCGTTCGCTGTTTCGTTTGTCTACAATTTATTTTCGCTCTTTTAGCGCTCATTACAGCCCACGATATCTAGTTTCATTGGTGCAAAGCTCGTCGAAAAATAACGAGATTTTATCGGGTGTGGGTATGGGTGTGTGGGTGGGTGTGGGTGTGGGTGTGTGGGGTGTGGGTGTGGGTGTGGGTGTGTGGGTGTGAGGTGTGGGTGTGGGTGTGGGTGTGTGGGGTGTGGGTGTGTGGGGTGTGGGGTGTGGGGTGTGGGTGTGTGGGGTGTGAGTGTGAGTGTGGCTGTGGATGTGGATATCGACGAAGAGAAGACTCACACCCATATCCATACCCATCCACAGCCACACCCATCCCTTAAAAATAATGCCTAAATGAAGAAAATATTTCCTTCGAGTTTTGTGGGCGTATAACGGCAAGAAAAAAACGATAACGAATCGATATATGAGTTCGAGCTGGATTATGATACAGATCAACTCATGTATTTATTTAAAGAAAATCAAACGTTTCGGAGATTCCCAGCATGCTTCTCAAATTTTCATTGTATGCCAGCGGTGTGCCACGTGTCTGTAGATCTAACCAGGTCGGTTCTGAAGTTTCCAATCCACGGACACAATCCAAACAGCTTTGCTTATAATGCCCATCACATCCACGTTCACCTGCATGGTACTCGTTGTGAAACGAGCAATAGGTACCCGTAGTTTTGCGCACCTGCAAAGTTCGTGTTCCAACAGAATAAACTACAATATATGTTGGTACTGCAGCTAAGTTATTGTATAGTAGAATATAATCAATTGGTGCAATATAATAGTCACGAGTAAATACGGCAGTGTCGAACTTGAAATCGTTCAGCAACGGGGGAATAGCATTGTCTTCACTGGTACCCCCCTCAAACCTTTTATACCATTCCAGATATTGTTGGTGCTTTTCGCGATCAAAAGTGTTACTACAATTTATTGTTGCCATTATCGTACATCTTTTGAGAGTTATATTGTCCATTTGTGAGGCACCATTGTAAGTATGACAGACAAAACTTTTATTTGAAAAATAAGTGGCTGCACCCCAATGATTATATGAGATGGTATCTTTACGTGCACATTCTTTTTTAAATCCGTTTCGAATAATCTGACATAGATTACATGTTGAAGACATACAACTACCGTTATTACACTTGGCTGAAGTACCATGCCATCCAAAACACTCTTTCGTTGGAAATTTTGCATTCGAATGAATAAATTGTTGATAACGTGACTAAAGTAATGGATTGCTAATCTTATGAATAGCCTCTACATGTACTTGCGGTCTTAATTCATTTGGCCATCCATCTAAGAACTGTTTCTCCACCATTCTGAACTCTTCATTGGAACTTGAAAGAGAAACAGTGCATGGATCTATTAAAAACATAAAATTTCAAATGCTGCCGGACTCATTCCCTAGTCTATCTGTGGGATGCGATGTTATTCAATTATTAAGAAACTCAAAAAAAAGTTTTAAACGATGAGATAAAACATACCGTTTGTCGATGGCGGAGATGATGAATTATAGTGCTGTTCCATCAAAAGATGTTTCAGCTCAGCAAAACTTGGTCGATCTCTTGGTAACGTCGACCAAGTTTTACACATGATGGACCAATAGACATCACTGCATTTTGATGGTTTTGAAAGTAACTCACCGTTAGTAACACATCGAATAACCTCATTGTCACTTTCAATTTTTGCCCATGGTATCATACCTCGAGAATAAGCTTCCCACATCAGAACACCCATCGAGTAAACATCAGATTTCTCCGTATAATCATCAGGTGTCGCATTAACTGCAAGTATTTCTGGCGCAGCATATCGTATAGGAACAATATTTAAAGTTGTCTTGGCAGCACCCGGCGTTAACGAATACAATTTACTGTGTCGGCTGAGACCAAAATCAGTTACTTTCACAATAATATTTCGAGGATTCGTTTCATCAAAACGAAATACGAGTACATTACGACATGCAAGATCGCCATGAACAACATTATTAAATGCCAAAAAGCTCATTGCATCAATGATTTGTAAAAATATTTCAATCAAAATTTTTTCATCGGGTAACTTTGTTCGTTCTTGTAGTAGATCGTAGAGACTGCCCATATGTGCATATTCTTGTAATAGCATAATAGCATTGATTTCATGGTTATCACTATCATCATGATGTTCATGAACAAGACCATATGTTCGAACAATATGTGGATGACGACTAAGATCAACGTAAAATGATGCTTCTTTCTTAGTCCGAGCACCATCGATTTTTAATAGTATTATTTCTGGGCGATTATCCCTGGTCGGTAGCCATTGTGCATGATATATAGCTTTGCCAAATGTTTGAAAAAGTGGTCGACCAGATTTCTTTTTTACGTCAATATTAAGCGTATATTGATAATTTTTTTTCTTCGACGATGTTTCAAAATGATCCACTGCCTTTTTGATTGCATAATTAGGATATAAGTGTTCAAGTGAGATTTGTTCGCCCGTTATTGGGCTGGTACCATTCTTTTTAATCCATTCTACAATGGCTTTTCTTTCATATGTATGGCCATCTTGCGCTAAAACTGGATCTCGAAATAATTCTAGCGTTATTGGACATAATACTGAATCATCTGGTGGGTTCATATCTGAAAACATGCATACATACTTTTCCAGTTAACACTGCTTAATCAAAACAAAATAGAACTGGCTTTATCTATAATATTTAAGATATAACGAAAACGAACATAAAAATGAATTTTCTACTAAGTATAACGTATGCTTATGCTTTTTACTCTGATTGAAAAGAATGCTACTAATTCTTCACTAACTTCTTCTTATATGACTAAAAAAACACTTACTTTTCATGTAAGAGGTATTAGATAGAAAATGACTAGTTACACATAGGATCTTTGTCGATAAGTGAAAAACGACGCAAATCTTTCAACATTCAAGGTGTCTTTCGTTTTACTGTTTTTTTTAAATAAAAAAGAGTCATGCATGCATTACCAATCCACTGAGATTTTTTGTACAGAAAGTAAGAAAAAGAATGTCGATTGACGCACATGTCTTCTCTGATGTTGCTCTCGTACAAAATACTGCCACTATTGCTTTATGGTAATGCATTATTTTTTCAAACGCTAGAAAAAAAAGAATAAGACAAATTCAATATTCAGGTGAACTGACGTGAAACAACAAAAATTAACAATCAAGTTATGACTGTAGCAACTTTTTTTTATAGAAGTGAATGTTGATAATAGAATTATGCAGAGTAACTAGTAACAGTACTAATACATTTTTTGTATGAAATCTCTAAAACATCTAGATGATGACATTTTATTTTTGCCTTCACGATTCAATCTAAATAGTAGTTCCCTGTATGAAAGAGGATCTGAGTGTGGGTGTGGGTAGCTGTGGCTGTGGGTGTATATTACTTCCTTCTCTACCCACAATCACATGCACACCCCCATCTCCACCTCCACCCCCACACCCCCACCCATACACCCACCCACACCCTCTTCCAGTTGCATTTTTTCTTCGTTTTCTCTTCGTAATTTTCACAACTGTTTCAAGTATCAGAGTAAATTTGTACAAAGAAAGTTACATATTCTGATAGCGCGTGAAAATCTGCATCTTTTGATATATTATTCAAAAGGAAAAAGTCGTGCAGGGATATTTACCCATGCACAAGGAGACGCCCAAAAAATCAGATTATAATCTAATTTTGAGTCCGTTTTTTTACATGGGTAGTGCGGATCATAATTGATGTAATAGCGATGAAATTGTTAAACTTTCATCTGTACTTAGCAGTATTTATCATTACAGTTCAATTGGAGCGCAAAATGAATAGCATATTCGCAATCAGTGCAAAAAACTGGAACAAATCAGATGCATTTCGAAAAGAAACTTTCTTATGAAAAACCGACCTGTGATCCCTCTCAACACTTTTTTAAATTTCGCTGTGGTTCCTCTCTTCCAGGCTGGTTTTTCGTAAAAGAAAATTTTTTTTCAAAAAGTATTTGATTTCATCTAAAGGGTGGGTGTGGGTGTGGTTGTGGTTGGATGAACAGATAAGACTAAAACTTACACCTACACCCGCACCCGCACCCACACCCACACCCTCACATCCACCCTCACATCCACACCCACAGCCACACCAACACCCACACCCACACTCACACACCCACACACCCACACTTCACACCCACACCCACAGCCACATCCACACCCACACCCACACCAACACCCACACCCACACACCCATACCTACACCCACACCCACACTCACACACCCACACACCCACACCCACACACCCACACTTCACACCCACACCCACAGCCACATCCACACCAACACCCACACCCACACACCCATACCTACACCCACGCCCACACTCACACACCCACACACCCACACACCCACACCCACACACCCACACTTCACACCCACACCCACACCCACACCCACATCCACATCCACACCCACACCCACACCAACACCCACACCCACACCCCAAGTCTTTATAACCATTACGAACATCAGAATAAATCCGTGACGATCTCCTGATAAATTGGATTACAAACTCCCGGTCAGTTTCATCCAGATCTCCAGACACTACATCATATATATTAATGAGCATTTCATTCCGAATTTCCGGTTACACCATTCCGATCTTCCTGTTTTTTCAATACTATGTCTCGTTCAAAAATAATTACGAACTCCCGTCAAAGATTTTTTAAGGACAAAAATCATTTCCGAACATCCGAACACATGATCGGAGTTCGGAATGCCTTAGTGCGAAATATCCGCCACCCGAAAAAGTTGAGATAAATTATTAACATTTGAATACTAATATGTGAAAGTAATATCAACACCAAGGCTCCAAATGGAATGGGACAAGTTTTTTAAAAACATCTCAAGGAATCGGATGGGACAAATTTCTCATCCTATGAAATTTTCTTCTTTTTTATCATGAAAAGCTACAAGTTCTTTTCAGTTGAAATATGAACTCAAGGTGATTTATCGAAATAATGGACCATAGGATTTATTATACTCTCATTGCTGATATTTTTCTCAAAACACAAATAGTTTTGGTCCTGACTTTCTTGTACTATTTTTCATAAAAAAATTTTAATCTTTTTACAAAAGTCTAAACAAAGATAATTAAAACTGTTTTTGTAGAATTCTATATGCTTCAAACTAGTTTATATTTTGGGGTGGGTGTGGGTGTGTGTGTGGGTGTGGGTGTGGGTGTGGGTGTGGGTGTGGGTGTGCGGTGTGGGTGGGTGTGTAAATTTGTCTTTCATTTTCACTCACACCCACATCCTGTTGAACAGATCAAGCTCCTTGTAGCGAAAATGGTGGACAGCTACAGCTACTAGGAGCTGAGCTGTTCACCAGCTGCAGTTGTCACATGCCTAATCCAGCTCATGCTAGCTGGAGCTGTTCACTAGCCTATCTACCAGGAGTGGAAGACGTATGATCAGCAACAAGAAGCATTCTTGAGAAGGCTAATAGCATGCCTCAAGTTGCTAGAAGCATGCGCATGGATGCCAGTTGCATGTCTGAGATTGATAGCGGCATGCTCAAGTTTTGCTTGAAGCATCCAGTCACTAGCTTTTAGGAATCTCAGACATTGATTTAGTAGTCTTAGGCATTGATCCAGCATCCATAGGCATGCTTCTAGCATCCGCAAGAATGCTTCTAGTTGTTGGTCACACCTCTTCATTTCCTAGTAGACGAGCTGGTGGACAACGCCAGCTGATCTGAGCTGGAGCTGCCTACGAGCTCTTCGACCCGCGTCTCGGAACCTGTAGAACTGGAACTGTCACATACTCACACCCGCACCCTCGTGCACGGTAACGTCGCGCGCGCTAGTATCGTGCGTGGGACTATGACTGCGCACAAATGTCGTGTCACGGCAGTCGAGCATCTGAGCATTGAATACTCATTTCATAGCTGATGAAGCTCACTGTAACCCATAATCAGAGAAGCAAATCATGTCCAATTTTCTTCACTCACTCTTGTTTAATCGAGTTCATGTTTCAATGACAGTGGGAACTGATGTTTGTTTCTCAATAGCAGTCCAACGCAAGTCTCAAACTCAGTCAGGAGAAAAATAAAAGATCACTCTTTTAAGTCTTAGTTTTCCATATGAAGATGCGAGGTTACGAAAAGCCTTAGATATCGGCAGATATTTGGCTGAACATCATATAGAAGTACGTCCAAACTGACTGTGTTTTATAGATCTCATCTTATATGACTCTTTTTTACTTTCAAAACCGAATATATGCATTAGATAAAACGTGATCTTACGACAACAAGTCAATTCTACATATCTTGAAAACAGCTATTATCCATCTCTCAAAAGACCCTTTCAGAAACCCCTTCATTGATGTTGTATAAATGAACGCGTAAGTGCATTGTGCATTAGGGGCGATACTTTGAAAAACAAAACTAGAACCAGATTTCGAATGATTGTCCAAAGGGTGGGCAAAAAACGTTTTTAGTGCCCCATGTATACTTCTTGTTTTTTTCATTATCAATAGTTTTCATCTTCATTTCATACTCGCATTGCTGTACTTATTTTTATATGTACATGGTTATCAAATTATTTATTAGCAGCACAAACATTCCTTTCAATTGAAAATACCATTTTATATGTATATAAAATTTTTATAAAAAGAATTGCTTTGAAAAGTTTTTTTCTTTTTTAAGCTTATTTCACAAATATGTGCTCAATCAATTGGAGATGATCATGAAATTCTTATTCAATCATTATGTTCATTCGCATTAGGTTTATGTTTACTTTTCAATAATAATCAAATATCATCATATTCAACGTGAGAAAATTATTCTCTCAGAATATCTTTCAACTTTTCTTTGTTTCTAGTGAATCACTTGAAAGATTAATAAATGAACGTATTGATATTGAGTTATTTCAAGAAAAACTTGCAATACTGTCAAAATCTGAATATTATACAAAAGCTTTGCAAAAACCACAACTGAAATTATCTAAATCAAGTGATATGATACTTGATTATGAATTCGCTCGTTTATATAAAACTCTTGAAGGTTCAATAACACATATGTTAACAAGAAATTCAATAAGTTCAACAGATAGAACCCTTATTGATCCAATATCAACAAATCTCGATGAACAACAAACGTCAACAATGATGATACATAATGACTTAATTCGACAACAGGCTGAACATATAAATGTATATAAACAAGAAGAAAAACAACTTATTCAAGAATGTGATATGTATAAAAAGAAAATTATAGATTTAGAAGAACAAATAGAAGAAATCAAGAGTTGCCTTACCCAACATACCATCTAGACAAGAGTAATTTTAAACAGGAAAAAGTTTTCTTTTATATTTGCATTTTTATTCATCAGTACTCGATTTTCATAATGTTAAGAAGAATATGTCAACGACAACGACTTGAATTAGAAAATTTACGAAATGTTGTCGTGTGTAAAATTTGAAATGCAATGTTTTCCTGTTTATTAATTTGATTTTTATTCACTTATTTCATATACACTCAATAGCAGTATTCGAATTTAATCACACCGTAATGTGACGATTTGTACTTATGAAACGAGATCATACTGTCTTCGATATGTATCTTTTTCTGATTTTTCTCTCTTCTCTTTTATTGTTTTTACATCTTCTCTTATGTATAGCCGCCTTCTGCACATATATAGAGATGCATATCGTATTTGTTGTTCTGTGTATGTAATTTGTAGTATGTTTTCATGAAAGATAAATTAATGCAATTATGTAAATCATGACAATTGACGTAAGTAAAGTTGGCAATGGATTCACGTTTTTTGGGTGTGGATGTAGAAGAAGTAAGCAGTCATACCCATACACACACTCATACCCGCACCCCATACCTCACACCCACGCCCGCGTTGTTAAGATGAATGACTGATGCAATTTTCTTTTCTGGCGATTTGTTTATTGACAACGTTGTCACGAATCTCCGTCGTGTATGATTAAGTGTCCTTTTACACGAAGAGCGGCAAAAATAGTACAGTGTGGCGACGAATACGACGAGAAAGCAAATTCATTGACGTAACACTTCACGCATACCCCCATAAATTCTTTTTCGCTAGCATTTTATAATAAGCTTTCAAGTATGTTTGGCTTCAATATATATCGAGACCTCCTACAAGTGTTCTTTCTGTCCGTTTTGTTGTGATTTTCAAGGGAAAAGCGAGATAGAAAAACATCAGCACATGTGTCGGAGGAGAAGAGAAGAGAATTACCCAATGAAAGAAGCAAAGAAAAAACATTGAATAAAATACCAATATTGTAACTAATCGTTCGTATACAAGATAAAAATTATACAGGGTTGCCAAAAATGTTTTGCCTGGGGGATACAGCTCTAATGACAAATTATATCAACATTAAATTTTATACCAAATGAAAGCCAGTCAAAAGTGAGGTTTATCCATAGGAATGAATAAGGGCTATAAAGACTTTTCTCTATCGAACTTCGATAATGTCTAAAAATGCATGAGCCCATAGTCATAGCAAAACTATCCTTTATCATAGAGAACTCAAACTATCTCTGATATAAGATTACTAAATATAGAAAGGTTATTGTTGCCTTTTATGGCTTAATGAATGATTCAAAATAAAGGTAACTTTGTTAGATTTAGTATTTTTATATCAGAGGTAGTCTGAGTTCTCTATGATAAAAGAAAGCTTTACTATGATTGCGATTCATGCATTTCTAGAAATTATCAAAGTTCGATAGAGAAAAGTCTTTATAGCTGTTATTCATTCGTATGGATAAGTTCCATTTTTGACGGGCTTTCATTTGATATAAAAGTCAATGTTGATATCATTTTTCTTTAGAGCTATATCCCCCAGGCAAACATTTTTGGCAACCCTGTACATGCGAACATAATACGAGATTGAAACATATTTTTGTCATAAGTTGCGGTGGAACCACAATGAGTAGGGTGTAGATCTATATGTGAGCAGTGGCATTCTACTCAAAATACACACTCATGTTCAATACATAGAGTTATCTGTGTGGGTGTGGCTCGGGATGTGATTGTGAGTGTAGTTGTTGCTCTCTTCTTACACCCACGCTCTACATGGTTTACAGCTGATTTAAGATTAGCCGAAAATTGAATCTGTATAAGAATTAGGAAATCGTTCAGTCAAATAAGTTAAATGGACAAATTATTGAAAAATAATGGTGTTAGATTTGATTTAACAACATCAACTGGACGAAAAACTACACATTCAAAATTTAGCAAATATAATTATCACATGCTGGAAATGTAACTGTTAGAGTTGATGGTGAAACGGAATCGACTGCTATATTCGAAGTTAAACGTAACTTTTATTTCAAAATTTATTATCCCAGATGTTATCATCTAGGCTCTAGAAGTGGTAGAGTAGAACTCTACACTAAATATTCTAAAAGCAAAAGTCAACAATGACTACATTCTTATTTGATCAATCTCAAGATGATATCTTGAGAGATGTATAGAATGTGCCAAATATTAAATATAAATGAACAAAAGAAAAGTATCTTTTATTTGCGGATTGAGAATATCATAAGTACGAGTCCGATTCAAAAAATTCTGGTACGAAAGGTTGTAGTCAATGTACAATTTTTCTGAACGTATTTGGCTAATAAAAGCACACTTTTTAAAACAATTCTCGTAGGTCTGGAGCTGAAAGAACAGCTTATAGCTATTTTAATATTGTAACTCTCAAAATCTTAAGTAATATTTTCTAGAAAACCTGTGATGGATTTCATATTGATAGTCAAGTAGAAAATCCTTTTTCTTCAGTTGAAAGAGAGTACATATTCATCTGTAGAGCATTTTGAAATTAACATCAAATGATCTTCGAGCTAAATGAACAAAGCAAATTAATTTTCTTTTCAGATTTTTCAATTAAATTCATAAAAAATTTAACAGATTCAAGAATTAATTAAGAAGATACAGTCAGACTTTGTATGTGACTTATTTAAACCAAATATACATCTTAAATGGTTCCTTAAATGGAGAATCAATTCGAAATGGTATTGTTTTCATATTTCTCGTATCTTTAATATAAAAAAAAATTACTTTTAGATAATTACTTGGATATTCAAGCTAAAGAATCTTTACTTACATTAACTATACATATAACGTTGCTTGAAATGAAGATGGAGAATATAACTGTATAGCTGATGCTAATGGTAAAACCAGTGCGACATAAATGTTAAAGATAAATTCGAATATGTGTATCTACTTTTCCTTCTAACATGTTTATCCATACCTATTACATCTACAAAACCACTAGAGGAATGTGTCTGTAGTTTTGGTTTTATCTTTCTTATGAAAAAAAAAACTATCGCAGCTTGATTTTTTTTAAAATTATTTAAAAAGAACTGATCTTTTAACATGAACTATTTATAATGTACAATATTGAAAATCACGAAAATTATCTTCGAATATTTGATAACCAACATGCTGATGAAACATTAACTGTCAAAAGCAAGGTTTTTTTCTTAAAAAAAAATTGATAATTAGTAGGTATTACAGTGAATGCAGAGTATGGTAACTCATATCAGAAAAGCTAACAGTCATACCTCGAGGTATTTTCAAAGCCGTCAGAAATACGAGAGAACGGGAGACAGTTCTGCTCAAAAACAAGATATCTCGTATCTCTGAGATAAATTATCAATATCGATTAGATCATTTTATTGAGAATATCAAAATACAGTTTAGTCGAGTCTGATCCTTAAATAAATGGTAATCAACCATTAGAATTATCATGTGTCCATTATCCAAATTTAATGTTCATGTTATTTGATTAAAAGATAGAATACCAATGGATGATAAATCTCAAATAAGAAATGAAGGTTTAAGATACAATCTTTATATTCTATATAGAATTCGATCTGGACGATAATATAATTTTATTGATATTACTGATGAATAAGAAAATAGTTGACAAGTATCTGTTGAAGGTATGATAATATTCTTTTATAGAAATAAATGAATGTCTGTCTGTTTGAAGGTGAAGATGTTGAAGTAACATAGTTTTTTATGGTATTCTGTTACGTTCAAATGTTCTTATAACAATTGATTTTAAGCCAAATGAATTAGCATAATTAATTATGAAAGAGGTTTATCTTGAAGATGACGATGTATATAGATTACGTTTGGGAAATCAATATGATGAAGTATCAATATCATGTATAGTATCGGTTTGTCAATGTTAACCTTTAGCTCATCAATGAAAAATGAATGTTGAAGATTTGACACAAAATTAGAAGTAAAATTTTTTTTTTTGTTTTGAAATTTTATGAAAACTTGTTTTTCGAATAAATTTATTAAACCAATATCTTATGTATATGTATATGAAGAACAAGAAGGTGATTGGCGAAAAATTATAACTGATCAAACAGTACCAAAAGTAACATGATATAGTACTTATAAGAAAATTGCAATATTTATTTTGATGTTTTATTTATCGAGTTATTAGTATCATAAAATAATGAAAAATATCGTGTTACTCAAAATAAAAATACTTATCTATTAGTTATATTACATATTAATGATAGTGATGAATGTGAATATACATGTAAAACTGAAAATTCAGTTGGAGAAAAAGCATATTCAGCTGATCTATATCTTATTGAAAAGTCTGTGATTTAAACTACAACCGTATGTTTAACATTTTCTTTTTGTGTTTTTATGTATAAAAAGAGTTTTTTTAAATAGAACTGAAGAAATTGCACCATCTTTTATGTATAAACTTTGATATTTTATAGTGATTGAAGGATAACGTGCTAGATGTCATTGTTTCATAAGTGGTCAACCAAATCTAACAATACGTTGGTTACATAATTGTGTACCATTAGATATTGTATTTAATAAAAGAAAATATTCATCACAATTATTATCAAATGGTAAAGTAATATTAACTATTGAAGATTGGTCACAAGAAGCTGCTGGTGAAATAAAAATTATTGTAGAAAATCGTGCTAGTTTAACACAATGTTCAGCAGTATTAATTTTTGAACGTAAGTTTCACAATCTAATATTGCGTAGAAGTTTACAGTCTGTGTTAGAATACAATCCTATTTACCACATGATAAAATAATTTGAAAGTGAACAAAAATTCATTGATGAGCAAGTAGAGAATAAAGGATAGCTGAGCAAATGTCTCAACAATAGACATGCATCGGACACGAATGTTCGTTCGAGTTCTGTATTCATTAATGAACTCTCACAGTTGACTATTCTAAGTCTACAGACAATGAAAAGAATAAAAAAAATGCCTTAATAACAGAACGATTAGTCGTAACACCGCATATAAAATAAAGTTTGAATTTAAGTTGGGATCATTCACAATCATATAGTCGTGCACAATCATGTAGTTATATTGGTGAATTAAGAGGTTCAAGAACTTACTCTTGGTCAACATATGCCTCTTCATGATCAGGTTAATGATGTAATTTATTATATAAAAAACTATTGATAAACTTATTTATTTTCGTTATTAGATACAAATGATTAATTCCATGATCTTAGAATAATACAGATGATGATGTACAACAAGAAGAATCGATATGGAAAAATATGTCGATTGAACATACACGAAGTTCAATAACAGAAATTCAATTATATATGAAAGGAATTATTGATATTATAAGTTTATCTATTGAACATAATTTATATTCAATAAAAATGAAAAGTGCCAGAGCTATAAAAATGATTAAAGAAATGTTAAAAACAAATTAAAATCATGAATATTTAACTATATATTAGTTGAAATTCCTTTAAAAGGACTTTATGAAAGAGTTTATGAAAGTAAAGTTGTTTTTTTTTATGATAGGAATATTTTCTTCGAGCTATGGAAAAGATTGGTACAAATTACAAGTAATTATTCATCATAATATTAGATTATCATTTTTATAAATAAGAAGAAACTTTCTTCTAGAATTAATTGGAATCTTATGTTATTCATAGAGATGTGTATTGTTAGTATAAATACTGAATCACGAGTCACAGAGACAGAATTTACTGAAGCACTAATATCCGCATTTGACGGGACATTGTCATGTAAAATTTATTAAAATAAACGCTCTTTTGTAGCTGTACGTTTTAACGATTGAGCGAATATTACTGCTAGTGATTATAAACTGTATTGAATCGTTGGTAGGGAACTGTAAATCTTTCAAGACTTTAGTCGAGTTTAAGTTAACATTTTCTTTTCTGGATTCCTGTAGTCCTTAGCTGTGAAAGTGAATAATATTTTAAAATTTCTCTTTTATTTAGTAAAACTTAATATTTTCATATAAAATAAAATAAAATGACTATAAATAAATGAATCAATGTCAAAGCAATTGTTTTAAAATAAAAACGTAGAATTATCAAACAAATATCATTAGATAAAATAGTATAAATTCTCATTCGAATGTGTTTACATTATGATATTGTAAATGGAAAAATATCGTTTAATAAAATGATGAAAACAAGTTATTATTTTTACATATGAACATTTAGTTGTATATAATTATAACATATTCGTCATAACAGAGTTCAAAAATAGTCTTTTTAAATAATAAAAAAGAGATATATAAATAATAAACTAGAAAATATTTAGAAAACAAATAAAACCCGAATCAGCTCTACTTCTGTAATAAAGAAGTCGACTAATTTTCTTGTTGAAATATGTATGTTCAAGATATTTTTTTGAGACGTGTTATTGTTGTTATTTTAATTAAAATATTGACATGAAAAATAATAAATCTATTCTTTCATGTTGAAAATCTACATATATCCATTGTCAACTAGTAATTTATCGATACAAAAATGAACATCAAATTCAATGATCATCTATTAAACGTTGTCCTTGGTGTTTTTTTAGAGTCTTTTCATTTAATATCCAATATTTTTGTTTTACCCATTTGAATGTTGAATAAGAAACGCAAAGAGCATATCATTGATTAGTTTTAAATAAGATTTCGATTTTCAGTTGATTTCGTTTTTCTGTTCGACAGCAACCATCTTTTCTTACCTTTGATTAAATAAACAGAAGCATAATATTTTATGGGTTGAGTCATTCTCTCTTAGCAACAAAAATCATCTTTGAAGTTTTTTCCTTTCTCTTATTGACTAAAATTCTAACAAAAAAAAATCTTTTTTCTTTAAACAAGTCACTGAAAAATAATTATCTTAACAAAGGAAAGACTGATGATAAATGCAATGTTAATAAAGAAAGATGATCCAAGTTTTTCGCCATAATTACAATTGTCTAAATTCGAACAGCAATAAACAGCTGTTATGCCACGAATATCTGATGTTGAACAAGTTGAACCACCAAATCGAGTTATAAGACCATTTGAATAAACATTTTTCTATTTTTTTAAAATTATAAATAGATAATTACAAATCAATGACTTACTTGACAATAATTATAACCAGATATTTGTATAAATGATGCATTTGATGAATCAAATGGATCAGCACAAGCTGGATTTGATTCACTAGAACATATTATACATATTTTTCCATTTGTTAATGATATAAATACTAAATCAACGAGAATAAATATATTCAAATATTAATATAAACAACATACATGATATATATATTAATAATAATATTAATTTAATCATTTTTCATTAATATTTTAATGAAATAAAATTTATTGAATGTCAATGAAACAAATAACTTATGTCTCAAATACGTTTCAATAGTGTCCTTCATTCACTTTTTTTCATTCTTTCTCAAATAACCTTAACACAAACTTACGAATTTCTTTCGTTCTTGCCTAATTTTGTTTGTTTTATCAAGCAACAAACACATTTGAAATCAATGAAAACTACTTTAAAATTGAATATTATATTCAAATATATCTATATATTAGTTAAAGAATATAAAGAAAATAATCAGTCATTTTAACGATTATGTAATAGAGGTTAGTCAAATTTTTACAGATATTCTATAAGGAAGAATATATTTAGAATAAATAATATTATCGAAATTTATATAGATATATTATAAATGAAATATTTTTGTTCAGAAAAAGAACAAAATAAAACATTTTTTAATCTTTATTTATTTATAAATAGTTAAATTAAATAAAATGAAATATAATCGATAATAAGATCAATATATTTTCTCATTTATTTTTTTATTTTTAATTTCTATTATTGAAAAATTTTATTTTTCTCGTCTCAATATTTTAATGAAACTCAATTAGATAAATAAAATTAACATTTATAACAATATTCAATTTATATAAAATAGTCAATCATTAAATGTATGTTCATTACGAAAGAATTCATTTTTATTCTACAAACAATATTTCTTTTGTGATTATTTTCTCAAGATTATTATTTAAGATCATAAATTATAAAATGATTAAAAGATTCTTGTCTGAAAAAAGAAACAGATGCTCATTTTGTAACAATGTTCTTATGTTTTTCAATATTTGTCTAATGATTCTCATTAAGGTTAATTCTCTATTAAACATCATCTGATAATAACCTTTTGTTCTATTCTACGTATTTTCGAGTTAAACTTTTAACAAAATACAGAAAAAAGCCAATAAATAACTAAAACAAAAGTAGATCATGCTTCATGAAATTCTATTGATTAATAAAAGCAAAGTAACTAAAAAAAAGTATACATAAAAATTAGATTAAAAATTGACCATGATCGATTCAATATTTATAAAAAAACAAAAGCAAAGACAAATGATTACGCATGATAAAAACCGAACAAATTTGGGTGTGGGTGTGGATGTCGACGAAGAGAAGACCCACACCCACATCCACACCCACACCCCACACCCACCCCACACCCACACCCACACCCTCTCTAGGCTGTACTATAGAGGAGAACCTCCAACAACACTCTGACGCCG